ATCGACACGTGGCTTAGGTATTGGAATAGAGAATTTTTTTTTTAAATAGTAAAATTAAATAATTTAACCGTGGAAATTTAAATTTATTAAAACTTCTGGTGTAAATGATAATAGATATTGAACAGTTTATTATGGTACTCGATTAATGCAAATTGCAAAACCATTATATTGACAAAATTGAGCCAAGTAGGTACCTATACCTACTCATCCAGTTATTTGGCTGAATAACTAAAATATAAGTGCCCATTTCCCAAGTATTAGGTAATAAATCATATTATATAAATATTGTATATAAATTGTATATATGGTATAATTATTATAAGCTAAATAGATACGTTCTTCATCTTCAAAAACTAAGTCAATCACCGTATATATTTTGGCCACTCGTGTGCCTTCTTGGCTACCTATACCTATAATAATATTGCCTGAGAGGAGAGAAACTTTTTGCATATTACACCCATAATTAATAATAATTAGCTTATAACAATTGGTATATTGGTGTACAAATTTCAAGTCGCGATAACATGTTTGTCTAAATATTGTAATATTAGATATATTACAATAATATATATACATTGTTTTTGTATATATATTTATGATATTATATTGTATATTTGTGTATTTTTATCAATTAGGTATTATTGTTGTTTTTACTGATCGATATTGTTTCTGTGATAAAAACTACAGTTTAAGTTATTACTTATTTATAATGAAATCGTAACCGGAAATCTGAAATATTTTGAATATTATTACAGATTTGGTTTTAACGTATAAATTATTAAATATACTGTTGGCGTTATGACTTGAAATAACCATGTTTAATGACAATTTACACGATTTACTGTTACGAACAACATCAGTTATATCACACATTATAAGTAATATTTAAACTGTATATTATACTACTCGTATTTGTTTGTAAGTCATACAAAAGTTAAGCAACTTAAGCCCAATATAGATTACATGAACCAGAGAGCATAGCTGATAATATAGTTAAAATATTTTCAATTATAGATCTATAATAGCTATTAGTCCCTATAAGTGCTGTTCGTTGTGAAACCAAACAATAAATTAAAGCAAATCAATAAATCTGCGGAATGTAGTTTGACGATAAGTCGATGAACTGTAGTGAGCAAACAAATCGTTCCAATAATATTAGGTCCTAATTATTATCTCTACTGATTTTATTTACTATTCACGATTTTTGTTTTTACTTTTGTATATAGTTTTCACCCTTATTGGAATCTGAAAAGTTCGAAACTAGAAATTATAATTTACAAAATATCAACAGGACTCGTAATCGTATAAATCCTGGAGAAGTTGTTTTCAGCTACAAAAAAAAACCACCCCTCACAAGGATCACAGACGTAAGCCAACTTAATTTCAAATGGACATAAAATTAGCTGATAATTATTATCTGCCTACATATCCATGAAATAAACGTTTCAGTGAAGTTTTTTCGATATTTTTTTAATCGTTAAACAGTTTTTTAAAACAATATTTTTTCAATTATTTCTCTACGTATCTATCTAACAAATTATTGCATGTCAGCGAACAACGAATCAACAGACAAATTAATGCTCTTATCTGAGCCTCGTGGCTGCCATGAAAATGTGGATAATATCTATCATTCAATCATTAATATGACGTCAGTTGTTGTTTATTAATTTATTATTATTTTATTTATTTAACGAACTAAGTCATTATTAATTTCGATTCTCGGCGGTGCTGCATAATTCGCTTTACTGCGTGCAACGGTTTTTCTTTTATAAACACGTGCTGATAAATACAAATAAAATACCAGTACACATAACACCAGTGCACCACACTCGGAAAAGGTTTTGAAAAAATTTGAATAATAATAATAATAAAATATAGGTACCTACGGTGTGATCCATTTAACATAAGATACTCATTATATCTGTAAGCACTAACGTTTTTGAAAATACTTTTTTTACCTACATAATTTTAAGTCGCTACAAAATAATATTTTTTGAAGAAAAATACATTTTTACTGTCATCATTTTTTTAAAGTGTTTAGGAACCTCTTGAATGACAACATCTAATTTTTATTTCATATTCTGCAACAATACTTTAAAAATATCCTGCAATTTTCAAAGTATTTGGATCTATGAAAATTATATTTTAGACAAGTAGTTTGATAATTATTAATTATAAATATTTATAGTTAAGTTATCATTTTTTTTTTAATAGTTTTTGTAAACCGAAGGTCTTATATTAAATTATTAATCCGGATTCGGTATACGGTATACCTATAACGTATAATAAGTTTTATCGTCAATAATGATAATTTAGGAAATACCTAACTACTGTAAGTTCCCTGTTTGACTAGGGAATATCTAAAATATAAAATAAATAACATTTCACAGGAATTATGGAAGTTTTCAGAAATATAGTGCAGACATGTAGTCAATTTAATGTATAGCTTAATTGTATACGTTCTTCAAAACATTTATAAGCAATTTTTTATTATTATAATTTTAAATGCGATAAAGTCAGCCCGAATAGCTCAATTTGTGCATACGTTTCCAAGTATTACAAAATTTTTTAGGTACAAAAGAAGATAACTCATAGTAAAGCAGTGGGTTTAGAATGTTAGATAATGTTACTATCATATTATTATTATAGCCGAGGAATCACTATTAATATTTTTCCAGGCCATTCAGAAAATATAATTCATTAAGTTGTACGTGGCCATCAAAATAAAATGTAGGTAGTATCTCACCTTAACCTAACATAAAGAAAGTAGAGACAAAATAAAATGAAAAGCTCATTCAATTTGCCATCAAACATAATAATAATAAATTAGTTTCTTGTTTGCGTGCCAAATAATTTTCATTCACATTTCATGGGCTATAACCTAACTAGGACTCCAAGGATTTTGAAAAATGTAACAGCAACATTAAATGTATAGGTATTATAATAATAGAAGTACATTTCTCCAACCCCACCCATTTCGATTTTTCAACTTCTCCCAACGCCAATATTTAGTGCTCCATTCCTGCCAATTCCTGCCACAAATCCCAGAATTCCTGCTCAAAAAACGCTCCCGCAATTAACAAAAAACAGTGGATGGAGTGGGAGAAACGTTTTCTTTGTTAATTGCAGGGGCGTTTTTTGAGCAGGAATTCTGGGATTTGCGGCAGGAATTGGCAGGAATGGAGCACTAAATATTGGCGTTGGAAAAAGTTGAAAAATCGAAATGTACGTTAATAATAGTCGTGTTCAAAAATGTAGGGTAACTGCAAAGCTTCCAGTGGTCGATTCACGCGTAAACAGTGGTTCTCTTTATTTCGAAAACTGTTTCTAAGGACTGGATTTATTTATCATATAATAAAAAAACAAGTATTACACATGCAGTTTGGTTTGATTTCACTCTTACAGAAAATAAGATGATAAAGATAATAATAACAATAGGTCCATGAAATGTGATAATTGTTTTAATAACCCCTTACAAATCTTTACCACCAGCGATTTTTCGGGAAATCGACTATTATAAGTGTATCTATCGTGCTATCAATAAAATTTGTAACTCAAAATATTATATGCAGTTGTTTGTCAAATTATATGTAAAATACATTTTAACGGTGATCAATTTAAGTTGTATACATAATATTTTAATTGAAAACATTTTATTTCCCCCTTTATTATGACATTATCTAAAGAACATCAGCTATTGATCCTAAATCCTAATGGATCAAATATATTAATATTTTTTAGAAATCTTAGAATTGTTTCCTACATTTATTTGGCATTGTCAAAAATGACGAGGCAATATTGTCAATCAATAATACCTTCATACAACAGGCAATTTCAGTGTTACCTAGTCATTCATTGCGATTGTCATTAAATACTACATCAAACCACTCGAATGTAGAACTTCTGAATAACCACAACCGGTCGTATAAAAGACAATAATATAAAACTTCATATTTAACAAGTAGCCACGAATAAATATAATAACCTCAAAAGGTCGTAAATGAAACGAAAAGGCTATGAGGTTCGCGCGTAATACCAGACGATATAGCGTCTGCGGGACGTATACCAATCATCCGATCGTGTATAATATATAATTGTGGTATTGATTCGTGTGGGTACAAACAGGCTGATTCACCAACCATTATCGTCTTTCGAAATTAACTATAAAAAAATCGCTTATTAATAAGTATGCTTGGAAAATTAAAAAATCCGAATTTGGCTAAACAATCTGTGCATTATTTGAGGATAAAAAGATATTATTAAGTTTCTCTGCAGTGTTTAATACCGAGCAATTATTAACAATCATTAATTTGAAAAGTATTAATGTTTCTGATTTTGTTTTAAAAATATATTGATTTCATAATAAAACAACATTTTTTCAAACATTTTGTTTTATAATAATAACTATTCAAACCACCAGTGTAAAAAAAGAGGTGATCAAAAACGTTCTCGAGATAACTAATGTTTGATATCGAAAGAATCACTCTATACAATACGGGCATGCTCAACCACGGTGATCAATGGTGATTCGCGACGTTGATCGATAACTATATGTACGTCCTGCATACTATTACCAACGTTGTGGTAAACGTATGGTATCTGCGGTATCAACGAGGGCGTATCATCATCATAATAATATAACAGGTTTTGTCATGGTGTTAGTTGATTATCCGGACGTTTGGTCGATTTTATAACTCCGACCCGAGGCAGTGATATAATACTATAATGTCATAAATTTGCTACTTACCCACAAATATTTATAAAAATATTTTTTTATATTATAATAACGATAACAATATCGTATAGTATAGTAAACGATAAATGGACCCGATTTTCGGGTTGCCGTTCAGTTTTGTGTTTGAGTTATATTTTTGTCCTTATATTATTATTATTCTAATTTTTTTTTCGATTTCATTTCGAAAAAAAAACTTAATAACCGCAGGAAATGCGTTCGGAAACGCAACCGAATATAACAATGTCGACGACGAAACGGTTTTTACCTTCGCTGGCATTGCACGCTTTTCCGTAATAATCGATTTGTTCCGTCGAAAATCGCCCCTGTATACACAAACATACACACATTAAAAATAATAATAACAATATAACGAAAATATTATGTATTTACTATTAAAAATATATATAATTTAAAACAAACGTGGCAAGTGTACCTATTAGACAAATATAATTATAGGTAAGTATACAAGATGTACCTATCTGGACGATGTGGCAGATACAACATAACAATTACCTACTATAACGAGCAATTGAATTCAACCAAATACTGTTTAGTTTAAACATGGTATCGGTGTTCTTATATTATTGTACAACACATTGTTATATTATTATATTACTGGTGGTTTACAGATGATGTTGATCAATCTTGTGTCCTTCACACTTCAGTACTTAATGTAGATAATTATTCTAATTCTGCTCCTTAGAATTGTTGAGTATACTTAAAGAATAAACACTCTAAACTCCATAATATTATTTAATTATTTAAATGGAAATCGCCAGAATCAACTATAAATTGCTAATCAGATGCTTATTTTTAAAAACGTTGACCCACCTAAATCAAATTTTTAACTAGTGCCTACTTTCTGTATTATTAGACCTTTTCTTAAAAGCATGTGGTAGTTTCTAAAAATAGCTACTTAACACGAAGTATAAAATATAATATCTGATATTTTAGCTAGATATTTGACAATTTTTCAAATTATAGGGATACAATTTTAAAAAACAACGAAAACCAGCAATATTTAGGCAACGGCCTAATTTATTTTGCTTTTTTGTTGCAATTCAAAACCTAACAGTGTTGGTATAATATACTCGATATTTTCATAAAATAATTGTATTAGCATTTCTAAAATATTCAATAACTTTTTTAACCTATCATAGATGATTTAAATTGTTGACCCTTAGATAAGCTGCAGGGCAATGAATGTATGTATATATTTTTTATTTCTTTTTTTGTATCTAAATACATTTTTCTAGCATAAAAAATTCCATTCACTTCGAAAATAGTTTCTGGAATATTAAATCGGTTAGTTTGTACTTTGGTGACCATGGTCACCAAAAAGTTATACCTTCTCCTCTCAGAATCGTTTTTTATTGTAGGTCTACGATGATATTTGACCATTGAATTTCAAATTTAACACATCCATTATAGTGACCTACTCAATGACGAGGTTGTAGGGTTCCTACATACTTGACACCTACTGTACAACAAAGTTATTACCTACTTGAGTGCTTTTTTTCAACATATTATGTTGATAAATATTTTTATACGTCAACAATTTTGAAGATTTAATACATGGTTCCTCATAAGTTACATCAGTTACAAATATCAAAAACACAAATTCACAGAAAAAATAACCTCTTACGTATAGGTTCCTATATATTACAATGTACGGGGGATAGAATTTAAATCAATCAATAAAAAAATACGTGTATTTTATTTAAACAAAAATAAAAAAATTACTTGTTTAAGCCAGATTTTTTTTTAGCTAGTCTTAGCTTGTCCGCCTATGCTAAACGGGGTGTATCCTTCGCGTCATAGACCTCACACTATAGGGATAGTCTTTAAGACTCTATGATCGTAAGAATGTTTCGCACTCAGAGCTTAATGACTGCAAAGAATAATTAATACTTACGTAGCCACATGAAATCAGCATCGCAATACCGAACAGCAAAGTTATGTAAAACGTCGACGAAATCATTTCGCACTTTGATTGTGAACTGTAGAATTATTGTCGTTATTATCACTCTGTCGTGACACTCCGCCGGTAGAAGACTATGCGCGTTGTTTTATTACAATATTATAATAATATACATTATATAGGTAGGTACAAATTGAACAGCCGTCCAGACAGACTTTGGAGTTTGCGATTGTGTGAGTCGTGTATAACATACAAAGGTTAACAATAAGCTATCTACGGGTCATTCGTTTCGTCTGTGAATGCTGACCAAATATAATACTGCATAATTGATATATTATATTGGAGGGAATGAAAAAAATCTACGATGTACCGACTGTACGGTCTGTACCGTCTGTAAGTCTGTTAATAATAAATTGTTGTAAATGAAAAAAAGCATGATAATAAATTGTAACGTGCAATTGAATTTTTAATACACACAAAATGTTCAACAATTATTATATTAAAAATACACTTCAGACGATAAATCAAAATGTTCCTTTGTACCCAGGATCTATCAGCTGCTGACTGAAGGTGACGACGTCTATAGTGGTAGATACTCTAAACTCTGAAAACAAATAAAACATATACAAGTTAACACGGAAATACTAGTTAACATATTACTATGCACGTTGGATGAGGCAAGTCGACGAGATGTCGAGATCGAGCGTAGGTTACAAAATCATTTTAAACAGTATATAAAGTATACTTCATAAAGTATACTGACCCCCATTGTTTCAAATTAGGATTTTTAGAACTGTATCATAATGACCACAACATTATCTATACTGATATTTTTCTTTAAGTTGTTGAAGCATACAATTGAAAATTCGTATGAGTTGTTTTTAATTTTTAAACTCTGTGTATTAAAAAAGATAGTCACTGATAAAAGGTTTAAATTGATTTGATGATTTTAAAACTATAGCAGTAAATAATATTTGTATGCCTGCCTATATTACCGTTTTATAATTATTGTAAAAATTGTTAGAGTGTAATAAGTAGAAACTAGTAATATAAATAATATTTTATTTTATATTTCATGTAAAACCGTTATCAAAGACAACTACTTGCATTAGCCCATTAAGTTTAATAGCTCAAAATCAAGCCGAATTAACTTCAAATTTAGATTTTGTTTTAGACGATACTTTAAAAAAAAAAAATACCCATGAGTTTTATCTGGATATTCCTTAAAAATACAAAAAAAACTCAGAAATTGATTAAACGATAAATGGCAATAGATATGTTATCAATACGGTATACATAAAAATTACCTAGCGTAGGCCACCGTCCGTTTTTCACAATATTTAAGATACCTATTAATTATAGGCACACATTAAAATTAATAATTTTTGATTATATCGATATCGCACGTGCAACAGTTTAATGTCGAAAACTTAAGTACAAAAGGTCATAATAATTTCAGCGAAAGTCTCATGAGCGCAATATTTTACGGCTTTCGACGGCGCACTATGCCTGATTGGCCTAAGTGTTGATGTTAACGGCTCAAAGTGTGGCAACTGTCATCAACCCAAGTCGTGCACAATTATAATAATCAAAGTTAGGTCCAAAGGTATCAACGAAAAAAAACTAAAATAGTAGAGAAATCTCTACCTGACATCATAATCGAATGTCGTCCAGCATACCAGACATAAAGAATCCATAATATCTATATATCCAGTAATGTAATATGTAGATTTTTTTCTCCTACTAATTTCTGCATACCTATTACGTGTAATATTGTGTTTCAAGAAAGTTGTCTGGATTTTGTTCGAATACAAATGAATATTATACTACCATGGTGGGTTAAAACTATAAAAGTATTGATTTTTCGGAATCAAAAATATCTGTTGCAAAATATTGTTACACGTGTAGAATGGTGTATATAATATTATTAATAATCTTTCATCATTATTTTTTAATTTTTTTTATCAGCTTTTAGTATAATAATCAATACTATATGGCTCGATAATAAAATTAATAAAGTTGTTTCAATTTGTTTTGGATTCTAAAAAAAAATTGTTGAACAAATTAGTACTTGGTATAAACTAATGAGTAGTAATAATAACGAACGATTGCGAAGAACAATTGGACGATGATTGACTTTTAATCATACAACTGCCACTGCGAATAAATTATTTCATAATACTGCATTGAAAACTATATTTCCGTGATTAATAAACCCAAAAATTAACCGAGATTTACAATTATTTAAAAACAGTCGCCAACTAGGTATTTTGAAATTGTCAGTGTCAATTAAGTTGATTCGACCATTGTACTTAAATTATATAATTAATCAATAATAATATTATGAGAATTATTTTTTTTTAAATCACAGTAGGTTTAATTCCCACAGGTTGTTTTCAAAATCAATGTATTATTTATCGGCATCATTCAAAACACGATCATGGACAAGGATGTAATTTTATCAGAAAAAATAAAGTTATTGCTGGTAGCATAATTAAATTGTTTAAAAGTTAAAAAGTGAAATCTAAGTTATTATTTTTTTTTAACTTTTTAACAAACGTGTAATTTCCTATAACATTACAGGCTACAGCTATATAGTGTTAATAAGAATGAAGATAATAGAATGTATTTTCAACAAATAATCTAAATTATTCATAATTTTATTTTTATTTTTAACTCACTGTAAACTTCATTGTTTGATATTTGTATTAACAATTGGTACGTAATTAATCACAATAATAAAATATTATGGGCATCGGTCAAAAACATTTCCTACTTTAAAGCTGAATGTTAGTAAATAAAATCATTACATTCATCTAAAAGTATATTGAGGCAAATAAGTTTTAAATTGTCACAATTTTATTCACATATACCTATATACCTTTTTTATCACAATCTAACAATCAACTATAGAGTTACAATAATATTGTTCAGTCATTGTATTATATTTTTATGAGCAATATATTATTAAATTTAGTTTTCATAATCATATAAGCTGCCGATAATGATAATAAAACATCAAAATAATATTATATTATGCTAATAGTGTGTCATCAGTAAACAAATGTATTGTTTGTTTATCAATTATAACATTATTATTTACTCACTTTTGGATCCACGCGGTGTGCACACTTAATGAAGTTGTACGAAGACTGACAAAGTTCTTCGCCTTTATCTAAAATCAAGCAAATGTGTGTAAAAACTAACGGTCAATCAACAGAAATAATAATGATAAGTAGATAGGCAAACAGTTCAGTTGTACATCGCCAAAACACAGTAGGTACCTATCTGTATTTTTCATAATTTTGCAGAATAATTGTTTTTGTAAAGTATTTCATGCTTAACACTGTGTGATTGCTGTGTACTCACAGTGTGATAACTCCTGATTTAGTTGTGAGATCCTAGAGAGGATTGGATATAAAATTCATAATGAATTGCTCTAAAATATTAAGTGTAAAAGTTTTTTTTGATAAAAAATGTTGGTTAAAGGGTTTTGGCTTAGTACGACGAGTTGTTTTATAATATAATACGATTACCTATTCCAATGCACTGTTCAATAGCTGGTAATAAAATGTTGTATATGTTCGGTGGTGCCATCATCGACATCTTGTCTTTGAATAATTTTTTGTCGAGGGTTCCTTTTTGATTGATCTAAAAGTATTTACAAGTGGTGTTATTGTTATTATATTTATCGTAACCTTGTATTAAAGAATATCAATGATTTTGACACTTATATGAAATTACAATATCGTATTTAGTGAAGCTAATTAAATGCATATGGGATAAGTCACCGCAATCATGTACTGTTTTTGCAATATACATTTTTAAGTGCATATTTTCAAATACTTGGATTTTATATATCATTTAAGGAATATTCTATAAATTGTTAAGCTGTAGCTGTTTTTTTTTGTAAATGTTGAGGTATCTAAATCAAAATTCAAACGAGTACTAATATGTACTATAGTTTACTAGTTATTAATACAGTTACCCACAGTGAAAAATGAAAATAGATATTTTTAAAATTTTTTATTATTATTAATATTTTTAAAAATAAGTTACTATTGCCTCATCATCACTCACACATCAGCCATCGATAATATAAAACCGTTTAAAAAAAATATATAGTCCTTCATTATTATAATCGCAAAATCCAAAATTTAGAATTTGAATTAATCTATTATTAAAAGAACAAAATAGGGTAAATCACTCTGTATATTATATTGTAATGGAATTTTTTTAGTCCACGAATTCAAAACACAAGCACGAGAATGTTATATCTATCATTTAATAGCATCGCAGATAGCGACTTTTATTATACCTAGTGTAAATCATAAATATTATAAAAAATAAATTAATTAAAACTACAACGCCAAAGTCCATTCGTTTTTCGACTTGAAACGACTGAATGCTACATTAAATGTAATATATTTTGAATTAAATATTTATACTTTGTTTTGTGAAGAATCTATACACGATATATACCTAATATGTATAATGTTGCTCTATCTAAAAATCTAACCATAAAATATAATTATGTTTTAAATTGTAATCGTAAGGTAAGTTCTTAACTTATTGTTCGTGTCATTCATGTCCTGTTATATTATAACTTTCAAAATTTCAAATATTATGATTATTATAATTTATAATTTATTAGTACATGTGTTGACGGAATAAATGCACATTTTGAAAAAAAAACACACATTAGTAACACTTAACTGGGGAACAGGGAAAATAAATTTTAAAAAAAACATTATCTAATTATCTATTTAAATTAGGTAATTACTAATTATCATAACTTTTATTTTATTTTAGTATAATAATGATAATATAAATTAAACTTAAAGATAATAATTAATATTACATTAAGTATTTTATAATAATTTAAGATTCACGAAAACTTCATGCAAAAAGTATTTTAACAATACATTTTACTGTAATATTATGTTTTTGGTATTTAATGTCAGTACCTACTCTGACAGTTATTGGAATGAAATCTATTGTCATCACAGAACGTAAGGTATGACGTTTTCTAATCTAATTATAATATGATTAAACGATTCTTATTTATATGATTCAAATATTTTAATTTATAAATAATAGATAGAAACGTTCAATAATAATGAAACGGAAATCAAACAAATAATAAAAAAACCCGGACCACGGTCCACGTGCACATGTGAATCTATACTAAAAAAGTATATTAATACATAGGTGTTTTGTTTGTATATTATGTGACAAAATAATCAAATGTTATTGAAATTAAAATTATTCTAATCTATATTGAAAAGTAAGAAGGTATACTAAAAAAAAAACAAACGATTGTTTATTTGTTTACCGATGCATTTTGTTAATAAAATAAATGATGTTTACAAAATCCACATAGAGCTATTCAGTGTTGACAATGTCTGTAGATAACAATACGTACTATTATAGTAAAATATTATGTATAAAATAGGTAGGTAAACATTGTCCCAATTGAATTTATAATAATCAGTTGTAATTCAATTAAAATAAATTAACAATTACAGTCATATTGTATAAGGGTATGTCAGCGTACTGGTTTTTGTACATCAAAACAGAATGTCTAAAAACCGTTTTATTGTTTCAAATGAAAATATTGTGTGTGATTTTAGAATAAATAATAATATAATATATAATAAGTTTAAATTTATCAAGGGCATCACATATGATATTTATTCTCTTTTCATAATATTCAATTTTTAAAAAGTTTTAGTTGTTTAAATTAATTTTATAATAATGCAATACTTCTAACTTAAATATCTGCTGTTCCAGAAATGAAATAAACAATTCATAATAATTGTGTCAATCCGCTCAATCGATAGATAATATTGCTCATGGTTATCGACAATATTTCTATACCTAGTCAATCAAAATGTTTTTGTTCTAAATTCATTCTGGATCGTTCTTTGACCCATCTGATTAGTGTGTTTTTACTGACTATATAATTTCATAATTACGCAATAGTCGAAAATAATACCTACAGAAAAATCTTGGAGATCACTTGAAATATGATATTTACAAATACAAAATATAGTAAATGTGTACATATAGGATGTATGATATAATATTATGAATCTTAATGTTTCGTAATGTCTTGTAAATATTGCCTACATCAAACCCCTTAAAAATATTATCGTAGGCATGCTCTTAAAAAAAATGTGTGTACTAATCGATGCACTGACTATTAATTAATATTATGTATAATGACGATAACAAAAGCACTATAATACCAAAGCATTATACCTAATAGTTTTTGAATAGAAAATCCTGTCATAATTATAACTATTATTGGTACATACAAATATAATGTATATTGCCTATATTATAATAGGTAGATACCTATACTTATTTCTTATATTACACACTTAATATATAATATTATAGTAAATAGGTACTTACCATTTGCATAGTTTTGAAATTACAGGCAAAGTAACACTAAAACAATAATCATCATTATATTATTATTACAATTATCACTATTTGAAATGCATTTGAATTTTAAATTAATGAGTTACGAGTCGTTCTATGTGACTTTAAGTACGTTTAATAATTGTTAGAGAAATTAAAAATGTCGTTACTTTTATGTTGTTGTTGTTCTCCGGAAATATTCCTTTCTTGATGTCAGTAAATACGTCTGAGATTTATTAACCATTACATGTAACATAATATCAGTTTGGATAAATTAAAATGCTCATTTTAAATATTATGTAATAAATATGTTTTACCCTCTTCGACTGAATGTTTCTTGGAGCATACGGTTTTCAACATCTGTTGTGTTTTTTTAATGGCCGCTTCACTCAAGTACTATATGAGTTGAGATTTTGAAAAAAAATTTAGGTACAATATTATTATTAATATATTAAATTATATTATATTTATACTATAAGAGTTATAACGATTTATACTCGTATTATTAATATATTTGTTTGTGGTACAAAAGTATAATATAACTACAATAGACTCTGTATACATGCATTAACGTTATCAATATACGAATATTGTAAATTTAAATTCCTATCTTCTAGTCGATAATTTTACTACCTAGTGAATAATAATAATAACGATCACAATCAGGCGCACGAAATAGAGCGACAGTTTTACATTTGGTCGTACGATATATAGGTAGGTATTATTATTTTAACGAATACACAAAATGCGAAATTGTTTTTTCCGGTCCATGTCCGAACAAAGCTCTAGTATTGTTAACGTTTATTTGAATTATTTCTTAGAATCATCATAAAATCAAACACTTGAATGTTGTACCAAATCATTGCTAATTTATTCAGGAGTTATTATAGGTAATAATAATTATTATACCGTATAGTAAGTTATTATATAGGTAAAGCAAGGTTGGAGTGGTCAATCAAGCAAACGGGGTTTTTCCTTTTTATATAAAGAGTGGTCCTATGGTTCGGTTCCAGAAGTATAATATAATAAATTTTGAAAATAAAAATTAAAAACCATAATTATGAATTATATCAAACAGTAAAATTAAGATAAAAAATCGATGACACACACCCTATGTAACATAATATTTTCGAAGATAAAGATTCAGCCGTTTGCGCAATAGTTTCGTTCAAATACGACCATCAAGAACCCTATCGTAAAATAAATTGTTAGCAACAAATTTAAATAAATAAAATATCATGCTGAATACTATATAATTATTATATTATTAAATATCAGATTGACAACGTTTAATTATTCGAAACAGTGCAGAAAATGTGTGATGGTGAAAAATTTCAAAATTGTAGGTATATAATTTAATATTAATATAGTTTGCATAATAATTTATTGTTATTTATGACAAAATAAATAAATATTTTTCAACGATGATCCCCGTATTCTGATTAAATATTCTTAAAAATATCGAAAAACCTAGTTTACCTTGGTGAGGTAAATTTAAAGATAAAAAAAGACAATACTCACAGCATCGCAATCCTTTAAGACGGTCGCTGCTATAACAGCGAGCAAAACTGTAGCTGGTATCATATTATTCATTTTTTTCGGAGCGACCAAACTTCAGCTGTGTTCCTTTTCTATTTGCACTGCACCTGCGTGTAAACAATTATTGTGGTTTATTGGAACTTTATAAGTAATACTGTCGTGAGTCGTGACCTTCGGCCAATGAAGACGGTTCGAACAGACGTATTATAATAATACAATTATTTAACAATTATTACAAAAAATACAAAAATTACTAGCCATGTACTGTGTTATTAATAACTAATATATAGTATTATATACTGCACGACTACAATGACTACATCATACGGAGCACCCAAATATAATGACGAGTTACACGATCAAATGACACGTTTTATGTCAGGTGGTTTGGTAGTTACTCGACCGCACTACACACATATAATTATTGATAAGTCTACCAACCTTATTATGGAGTTATTTTAATATAACTACCTAATAAAGCTCACCGTATAGCTGGACTTATAATCGATACTCTCTGAAAACGCGTTGGTATCATTTTTGACGTTGATGTCGATATTTGATGACATTATGTGTCTTGATTCGATAAATCGGTTTGAAAAAATGTATCGGTGAATATCTGTATGCAGTCAGATTAATACGACGATCGGTGGCATCAACATCCGAGTCCGACGTTGTTTACCTATTGTGCATTATGATACACACATTAAAAACTGCGACTACAGAGTAAATCGATGAACAATAAATTATAGTCCCCCCCCCCCCAATTAACTAAATAAACTTACACCTTAATTTATCTTTCAACTCTTAATAATAAACAATGAAGTACATAAATCGTTTAATAAAAACAAATAAAATACCAATCCAACCCATGTTTAGTATCATTAGAATGGGTGTAGGTAGAAAAATACTTTTAAGTAGAAACTCACTTGATAGCCTATCTATGTCCTTGGTCAAAAGTCTTGAAACTTTTATACGAGGTACCCAACAAATTTGAATTATAGAAATTTAAAAACATAAAAATATATGGTCTTAATGTTATATTCTATAAGCGTTTAAAGTTAAAATTTTGACGAAATTTTACAAAATAGACGTTAAAACATCAAAATAATTCTTTACTCAATTGATTTTAACTATTTTCTTGTAACTTAATAATTCTTGTAATTTTGTTGATAATCAAAAAATATTAATAATAAAAATACAAGACATTCCAATATTACTTTAATAATAATAATAATAATATAAATTATGATTTTCTGTGAAATTTACAATGCAGTTTTCAAAATATTTGAACAAATATTAAGCATTGTATAGGCTGTAATGTTTATAATTTAAGAATATATTATATATTCATAAAATCATAACATAGAATATTTTTAATCTTGATAAAAATACTTTAAGCTGTTATTATACCAGTCTAACAATATTTAAAATATATAATATTGTATAACATTTTTGTTTACACTTTATTAAATTTTAAATATTGACAAGTTCGTTAAAATCATGAAAATTTGAAAAACTATTTTGTAGTTTTAAATTTGAGTTATTTTCTATTTACAAGACAATATAAGCCTATCCATTGATAAATAAAATGAAGTGCAATGGTCCTAACTTCTAATACTGTACCTACGTTGAGGTATAATCCTCGGGTTACTTTTAATGAATCACTATATACCTATATAGGTATTAGGTACCTTTTATTTTAAACATCGTAATTGTATCTGATAATATATAAGAATGAAATGTGCCCTGACTTCCTGTAAATTTCAATTTCTTAAAGAGTAATTAACGACCTGATAACTATAATAACAGCTTGTAATAGTATAATAATATTAGTAGGTATATAATATAAATAATATAAGTGCAATTTGGTTTTGGCAATATTTAGTCAATCTACACCAATCAAATAATTAATAAATAATATCAATATATAATATCATTTGAAAATAACATATATAGACTGACAAAAAATCTTCGCTCGGAATAGTTTTTCATCTTATAAAATTATTAGTTATTTGATTCAAATTTAACTATTCGTTACAGTACCTAACTCAAAGGCAAGGCACACTAGGCATCTACAACAACTATACAGCAGAGTGACTTCCTCTATTACTTTTATTCTTATAAATTGTATTTGTATTGTGGATCAATATTGGACAACTTAATAAGAATAATTGTATTACATCGTAAGATTCGTTATTGTGCATACCTTCGTCCGTACCTATTTAATTAATGCTAAACTATTTAAACTTTAAAATAGTGATCATTTTCTTACCATTTTTTTTACTGCAACGGATCACCAACATATTTTTGAATCAACTCGTGGATTGAGAATAAAACTGAGTTCGAGAGCACGTCTGTGTTGGCCGTGTTTAACTGAAAAAAAATGATTTATGCTTATAATGATTAATGACGATGCTCGATTATAACTTAATAACGTGTTATTTAAAAATCATTATCTTGAATAGATTTTAATTTATATGTTACGTTCCGTGTTAATTGTTCAATCGTATTTCTATATTATTAAATGTTGATCACTAAAACATAATTTTTTTCAAGCGTATAATACATATTATATTTCAGTGAGACCACATAAAATGTAAAATAAACATTTCAATTATTTCTAAACCATAGTAATATACAATTAAAAAAAATTGAATTACAAAAACATGCGCTTGAAACATACATCAGTCAGTATTGATTAGTAAAATTGAGAATACTAGGTACCACGACGAGGATTGCGAATGCTTATTGCTTATTGTTTGAACTTAGAAAATGTCATCATACTCTATGAATGGATAAAAATCGTTAAACCTACTCTTTGTTGCAGGTCTCACTTATTTGAAATTGTAATATTAACTATAAAATAAAAAGTTTTGAGACATTAAAAAAAATTGTAATTATAAATGTAAAAAAAATGTTTGCTACAAATAAATTGAACATAATATATTGATTAGGTATATACATATACCTATAATAAGTTGGTAAACAAACTGTATTAATAGTATATACATTTTTGTTAGGTAGTTCTATAAGAATAAAATCAATTTAATAAGCGCTGTTTTTCCATAATACCTAACGATGAGATTTATGTAGGTTGGTTTTCTCTTTATAGCAATCATCATAATATTATATATAAATTGTATAATAATAGTTGTATCAGTGTTATAGTAATCAATTAGTTACTAAATTATAATGATTATCTTACAATGCTATTGAATGAACAATAATGGTTGAATAACAATATTAAATAAAATATTAACAATATTAAAAAAAAATGCAGAACCTTGTATATTTAAATTTAATGTGATTATTAAAATGATATTTTTCCAGCTTATATTTCCATTAAGCTTTTCTGAATGGTTTCGTACAGTGCGGGAGCATTGTTCATCTAAATGAAAAATTATTATACATTATGGTCTATAGTTATTTAAACTGAACAAATATTGTAACTTATTTCAATGAAAATGTAGACGTGACATTTAAACATTAAAATTATATAATATGTTATAGCCTTATAATAGGTACAATTTTAGGTTGTAACAACTCAGACAGCAAATGCAATAATTAGATTAGTCATAAATATTTGTATTAAACGGTTCAAGTTACATAATATTTATTATAATTTAGACAATTATGTACCTACCTATATTATATAATTGTCTATCGAACAATAGTTAATAAAATAATTGGCACTCTATGACCACAGTCACCGTGATTCCTATAATAGTTTCCTATCTTAATGTGTTGGAGCTAATAGTGGGTACTTAAATATTTTATGTTAATTTCATAATTGACTTAGATTTGAAGAAACTCAAAATCATAGTATAATAATCTAAAGAAAAATGAACCACTGTTCACTACGAATCTTATTATTTTAAAATTAATTCAATGAAGGAATTGCCTGTAACCATCATAGTTTAAATATCATAACTCATAAGATACATATAAATTATAATATACCAATTTGATTTTTATGCGTTAAAAAATTTTAAAATGCCCTTAAGAAATATTTAAGACTCAAAAGTTCCAAGAAAATAGACTTAAAATAATAATAGTATATTGTTTTTGATAGTTAATATTATATAATTATTAATTAGGTAGGTACCTATTATTGAAACAAAATAATATATTAAATTGTTTTTTATAAAAAAAAAATGTATTAATCGGTCTGAATTAATAACAGTTAGCCATTATTATAATGAATACTAGACATATTATTTTAAATCCACATTACGTCATGTCGGTATGTCAAGTGACAAAAATAAAAAAAAAGATATTTTTTCATCATAATAATACTATACTTAGAAAAGAGCAAATAAAATCTAAAAACCGAAAAAATGCCTTAAATTAGTATTTACTTAAAACACATTCAAATTGCAGCTTGAAAAGCATTAAGTATGTCAGGCAATCCCAAGCAATATGCAAATATGCATTTAATCCATGCCCGGCTTATAAAAAAATGTTGCTTTTGAAAAATTAGAATGTATAAAAAAAATTATGTAGTAGGTACTACTGATACTCTAATATAATATAATAAATTATGTGTAAACAAATTAAATAAAAGTATTCTTTTTTTCTTCCATAATCTTAATAAATCATTATAAGCTAAATTTATTTATATATATATATATATATATATAGAAAGGTTCAAAAAAGTTAATTTAGTGTAAGCAACAATATAATAGTACTAGGACAATCATTAATTATAAGACATCTAACGAAACTTCACTTGTCGTAAATAAAATTAGTGTTTTCGGCAAAGGTGTTTATCTTGAAAAGAGTTGTTTTAATGTAAAATATTAACTATGAGCAATACAGCGTAACATCTAGTATCTACATCATATCGTATTATTATATTAAGGTCAGTTTTTTGTTTAAAAATTAGATAACTTAAACAGTTAAACGGCTTGTGACGGCAAGTGATTTGCAATTTTAGCTGAAGCCGTTTATTAGAATTATTTCCAGAAGTAAAAAAAACATAACATACTTTTATAATATTGTATAATTTAGAAGAAATTAAAGAGCTTAAGAGTAGGTATATTGTGTATACAAGGATTAGTGAGTAAGTTATATCATGAGTATTACAGTTTATAATATTGTTGTTCATATCTAGCTTAAATATTTTAATATCGTAAAAAGCAAACAGATAAACACAGATACCTGGACATTATTCTTAGCTCTAAGTTTAAATGTCTGATAATACGTCAATTCACTATAATATTAAAACTAACAATAGGGAATTAGTTTTGATGAGCCCAAATTTGGTATGTTATTTACGATGGTTATAAACATAACGATTAACTTAATAAACTTCAATTATGTGGTACAATAAGAACTTACGTATCACGGAGGTACAGTATTTGTCATTTGAGTATTTCATAATAGTTCCTTATACACTCTCACATTAATATTTCATTTATTTACAAGTATAAATGAATATAAGTAATATTATAAATAAAAACAATGAATTAATAAGAAACTTAAGTATTATAATTATTTAAAAATTGCCGATGTTGCAAACGGTACTTGAAAGTTAACGATGTCGAATATTTCATATAATATTATGTCAATTGTGGATATTATTAAGTAAAACACATATAGACTAAGTAGGTACCACTACGAATCACGTCATATTCTGATATTCGTTGCTTAGATTTCAGTTGTCGGAAAATGAAATTTACAATTGTGTACAATATGTAATGTACAATACAATGTAGGTTCATAATATGGAATTAGAAAATTATTGCACTAAGACATTTTTAGTATGATTGGTTCGGATGAGCGCATAGATTATATAATTATTTTATGTAAAACAAAAATAAGTTTAGGTAGGTAAACGCATTTCAAAAACGTAACATCATGGTAAACTTACATTTAAACCTTTGATTCTAACGTTATAACTTATAACTATTAGTCCAGTTAAGTTTGATAGTTTTGTCAATATCAACTTCTTCAAACATACCTATTTTATAGTTACATATTATATTGATTGTTACAACAATTAACTCATCACTGGATGTTATTTTTTATTAAAAAGATACCCCTTAGGCTTTAATCGTTGTCTCTGTCGTTGTCAAACGCATGCTAGTCGCGAGTGTGCTTAAAGTTTACTTAAATTTAAAATTGACTCGAACTGAAGTAAAGTTGTTTCATTAAATTGCCTACCATAAAATATAATATCATACTAAGCTAATAATAATTATTATAAATGATGTACTTATTTTATTATTACTCTTTAATTATGTCGTAATAGTATACATGCATTATTATTATTAAAATAAAATTGTCAATAGTTGTAAAAATGTAGTTTTCGAACGTCACAGTCTATCGGTATAGCTAGATAGGTACCTAGATACCTTATCTAAGTACCTGCTACACATAATATAGCGTTTTTCAATTTTTCCCACTTTATAAATCGCTGACACCTACCACTTTTAAATTCTGAGCGGAGCGATGAATGTATTGATTTTACATCAATGTGTGTATTTTATTTTTTTTTAGGACTGTCATACTTTTTGGGACATTAAGAGTGCTTCGATTTTCTTCAACTGCATTAAATGGTATTTTCTGGTAGGAAAGTGAATCTAGTTGGTACTTTGGGGGGGTAAAAAGTAAAGAATTCCAGAGTTTTTGCTAGTGGGAATTAAAAAAAAGTGTAGCGTAAATCCACAATATTTCTTTATAACAGTTTGAATTTAAAATTTTAACAAAATTTGTAAAATTCACAAAAATTGTTTTGAGTTGGAAAAATTCAATAGAAGTTTGTGTACCTATTCAGGAAAAAATAAATTTCTACCTGAATGTAAAATTAAATTTTTATAAGCGTTTAGAGTTGAAATTTTTTACAACATTAGATATTCACCGATTTTTCATACAGAGATTTTCATATTTTGTTGTAATTCAAAAACAAATAACTGTAAATATTTGAAATTTACACAATATGTTTATTATATTAATTCATGTACTTGATATAGATTTCAAAATATTTTGACTCGTTTTGAACTGTTTACGAATATTTTCAATTTTCAATTTTTTTAGTTTTGTTTTCTAAATATATCAACAAAATTTTATTTATTGGGTCAAAACGCTTGAAAATTTAATACAAGGCTCCTAATATAATATTGTCACAATATTAGTTATATATAATTACTTCGCGGTGAAAGTGTGGATAAAATTGACGGTTTATTTTTACTTGTAGACTAGGCCTTAAAGACACTGGACTGAATATGATACCATTAATACCTATAGTTAGTTCAGTTCTTAACGAGGATATCACAATAAAAAAATCGCGTCATGTGTGATAGGTAGGTACCTCATGCATTTAAACGGACTTCAATATTCCAATGTTGTCGTTTTTTAAGTGAAGGCGGTGAGGACATTTTCACACAATTCCCTGTTTAATAAATAAATTACATTGTATATTGTTAAGTGTTTTTATACGTTTACCTTATTGTCTTGTCTATACGGCTCACTCTTTAAGCTCTAATAATACATACATAAAGTAAATATCTATGAAAATATGAAATAGTATGAGAACTCTTAATATTGTGTATTGCATGTTCATTACTCACCCAGTTTGAAATGCTAGAATCCTCGTTTCTTTTTAATTTCTCAGTTTATATTACTTAGTTATAAAGACTAGTTATTAATAAGACTATATTATAATATTTATTACTAGGTATTTTCAATGTATTTTCAATAACGTGTATTTTAATAAGACAGTTAAAAACTGTATCGAGGTGTTATAAAGTTATTTTTTTACTATGATGATGTATATAGATATAATCATGTTCATGGAAGTAATAAAATACAAATTTCACTAAGTTTCAGAGTTTTTATACTTTATGCACTAAGGATAATTTTATAAGAGTCTGGAATCTCTCCAGATTACCGTCACCCTCGGAGCTAAATAAATGTGTATTTAGTTATAAAGTTACACCGAACAAACTATTTTTATTCATTCAACATTTAATTTGTGTCTATTTAAATTTTAAATTCTCGGGATAATATTCAACTTCAGAATATATTAAGTAAAAACTTAAGAAATTATAACGATAACATTTTTGGACTAGTTTAAATATCTCATACGAAAAAAATAGTTCTAAAAAGAATATTTTCTTTTGTGCAACTAAAAATTAATTAGTCCTTAGTAAAATTAATGCCTTATACTAATTAGTAAATAATATTAGTACAATCACCCAAAGCTATGAACTATATTTATACCATCTTGAATTATAGATTCTGCTTAGGTACCTACATAATATAATGGGTGTTACAACTAATATCAGGTTGTAACAAGTATTTTTTGATACTGCATAAATGTATAAAATAATATCTTCTACGTATTCATTTATTATTATAATTTATAGTTAGATATATCTATTCCATTATTACAACTACTTGTATATGTCCACCATACTTACTATATTAATTATCCGGTTCCTGATAAGTACCTATATTCAAAATATTAATGTTAAAACTAATGAAATAATATAAAAAAATATTCATTTGTCCTTGTGTGAGAAAATATAATTACCAACGGCAACATCTCTGATTTCTTCGCATGTCTTCCGGCATATTGTGTAATTTTGACTTATCAAAACATAAAAAGTGTTTCATTACGTTAATAATCGGAAGCATGTAATTATAAATGAAGAGGAAAATTATAATATTTTAAAATAATAAAACTGTATTAGATTCATAATCATAGTGACCCACGACATAGGTACCTATAATGTATAATATAATGTAAATATATAATAGCATCAACGTTGAACAATAAAAATCACAACCACGTCATAATGACAAAAAAAAATGCAAAATAAAAATAACCTTATATCTTGAATCGCTATCAGTGACAGTTGTCGTTAAACTGTTTCAAAAATAAAATTATTACTTCTTACAAAATATTATAAAAACGTATTTAGATACATTTTTAGCTGTCCAATATATCAGTATAAATTTAATATCATATTTCCAATATCTGCAAACAATCTTTTAGATATTACTAGGTATGCTGCATGATATTATTTATGCCATTTATGATCATTTGATATCCATAATATCTGGTGACTTTCTTCGTCATCAAAGCGAAGGGGCTTTAATACACCTGCATTCGTTAGTATACCCATCCAGTAGGTACTAGGTAGGAACTCATCGTCATACGTTGAAACTGCAAAATTTCAGCCTGCAGGTGATAATTCAATCATTCCATGGATTTTATAGAAAAAAATTCATAATATTATGCCATCAAAATAATTTAATTACAATGGTCAATGACTAATGAGAAATATTAATAATTATTATTAAAAGGGTAACAATATAGTAAAGGCTTCTTTAGATTTGTATATTTAAAATCTATAAAATATGAACTACCTATATATATATATATCATGTATATTAATTTGATATGATATTGTTCTTGCAGTTTCATATATCATTACGTCGAAAGTCTGAGTTTATTAATAATATTAATTGGTCGCCCTGATAAAGGCCATTTTAAGAAGGATAGATTTGTTTAAATTCAACTTTAAGCACATTCTCCACGGATACGACGGGCCAATTGGATATCTTTGGGCATGATGGCCACTCGTTTAGCGTGGATGGCGCAAAGATTGGTGTCTTCGAAGAGACCAACCAAGTAGGCCGCTGGAAGGGCAATTTGTTCTTGGAACAGTTCAGTGCTTTTTTGGTAACGATGGATCTCACGGAAGGCGACAGTTCCCGGACGGTATCGATACGGTTTTTTCACTCCTCCTGTGGCGGGTGTACTCTTACGGGCAGCTTTGGTGGCCAACTGTTTCCTGAGAGCCTTTCCTCCGGTCGACTTGCGGGCTGTTTGCTTGGTAGCGCCATACTGGATAATGTATTTTGTTGAAACTAAAAATGATTTTGAATCACGAATTATCTGTTGACGAAATGGATACTTAATGAACCCTGTTGAGTCAAACGTCCCTTATTTATATGGTTTTCGGAGGGTGAGCAAACGTCTTATTGGACCGAGGGGTGTGGCCTCGCGCACCCCTCGGTGAAGGGTCTGTGGGATCGACGTCATAAATACGGCCTTACCGATCGATAAGTTATCATTCATCTCTCAACAAGTCTCGTCTTAATTACAAGTACCACTTTGTCAGCAACAAGTTATCATGACCGGACGTGGCAAAGGAGGAAAAGGTATGGGAAAAGGAGGTGCAAAACGGCATCGTAAAGTGCTCCGGGACAACATCCAAGGAATTACTAAGCCTGCCATCCGTCGTTTGGCTCGCCGAGGAGGAGTGAAACGGATTTCCGGATTGATCTACTAAGAGACCCGTGGAGTGTTGAAGGTTTTTCTGGAAAACGTGATCCGTGATGCAGTCACTTATACCGAACACGCCAAGAGGAAGACCGTCACAGCCAGGGACGGATTGGAACTTCGGACCAGCCCGGGAATATACCATTTTACCGGCCCACTATTTGTTGGGTGGTTTGGGGTGGGGGAGGGGGGTGATTTAGTGAGGTTTGTATAGGCAGATATAAGATACCTAGTTGTTATCAGATGTAATTTATAAATGAAAATCACTTTTCCTTTTTTTTTAAAGAGAACTCTCTTTTTGCAATTCTTTTATAATTTTATCTGAATAATAGTGTTTAATTTCTGTTTTTCCATGGCCATTAACATGAATGCTTCTAGTTTTGGATCCGCAAGTTGACTACGAAGTCTTGACTTAATGTTTTTTAAGAAAGAAAAAGATCTTTCATATGATATTTGGGTTGATGGTAGATTAAGTACATATTTGTGTGCTAAAAATGAAATAAAAAAAATGATGTAAGGCTCTTAGAAGCCCTTGCTTCTAAAAGTAGTTTTTTTTTATCGAATTTTTTCAACTCCTCCTTTTTTATTGCAGTCTGATCCATCCATTTCCATTTTATTTTATAATTCACAACTTTTAGGTACTATTGTAATATAAAATATTTTATCAAATATTCCTAGTTAAGCACTTAGTAATTAAATTGTAAAATTAACCAAATTATGAACTGCTGACTGCCGAGTGCTGATAAGTGCTGAGGTTTTGAATGATGATTGATATTTTATATAAATAATATAATTTATAAATAAAAAATAAAAATATTCCTATTTAACGACTTGCATCATTCAAAGCCGTCATTACCCGCAACCCGCCGGCCCATCTGATCGACGACAACTCGAAGAACCAATTATTTTACTGTCCACGGAGGTTGATTTTTTGTATAGTTATTGTTATTTCTTATTGATAATTAATATTATTATTCAGTTCGGTTGTAGACATTATATTATTACAATTTACAACGCGTTACGTTATAATATTATAGACTGTTATTACGTAATATCACTAATATCATTGATTATAGAATGAATAATTTAAAATCAACGGTAATATTTATTAGGTTATATTTAAGTCTACTTTTCTGCTATTTACTTAGTACGCGGCCCATCGGGGATTTCCCGATTTCCCTATGGCCCAATCCGTCCCTGGTCACAGCTATGGATGTCGTCTACGCTCTCAGACGCCAAGGCCGCACACTGTACGGATTCGGTGGATAAATCAACAACGGATTGATAATTTACTCGTTTACTATTTCACTACTTAAAAAAAAAAAATTTTTCATCAAAATGGTCCTTTTCAGGGCCATTAAATCAGTAAACCATATTATGTAAGTACTAAATAATGATAGCTTAACAACTATATATTTTTTTTGAGTACCCAAGCCATATTTTTTTTTTTACTTGGACGGGAGACGACACAAAACTAATTGCCAATTTTAGCACCGGATATATAAGAACGATAATACGATAGGTATAATAAATAATAAAAATCAATAAATTACTTAATTAATATACTCAATATATCATTGTTTTTCTATAGCCAAGGAAACGGCATAAGTATAGGTTATATGATATAGATACACACAAACTGTACAAACTATTATTATAATTGAGTAATTTGAATTATGATATTTAAATGAGTGTAAATAATAAACAAAGATAAGACAAAGGTTATTATTTAGTACCATAGAAACCATAGTCTCCCGACGGACAATAATCTTTTTTTTCTCATACCCTCTGTAAAGCAGTTTTACTAAGATAATATATTTCTTTGGTAAAATCTTCATTCATAAAATACCAAAATATTATTTAACTACATGAATAAAACTAATAATAAAATAACTATGAAAGGATATTGGTACAAATATACTATTAGCCAAGCTTAATCACTCCGTTAATATCAATAATAAAAAAGATCAATATTTGTGATTGTGAACCAACATTTAATAAACAGCTTAATATCTCTCGAGATATTAACATTATTAACATTACTATTATAATATTTATTTTTGTATGATTTTCCGTAATTATTTGTTTTGCTTAATAAATTATAAATAATTATTATTAACCAAATGTATGATACAGATTTTGAACTACTTACAAACTTGCTGGTGTTTGAAATATTGTAGTGGATGACTCGTTTCATCTAATTGAAGTTCACCAAGCTGTAAAAGATTTCTTGGGGTAAGAAGATAATACACCAACTTTCTATGTTTCACCATTCTTTCAACAGCTTGTAGAAATGTATATTCAAAAGCACATTCTGGATTTCTGATTTTTATGGTCAATAATTTATATAATCTACATTTAATGTTTACACATAAATAACATTAGCAATACTCAAGCATATCATCTTTCAAATAAATAATCAAGTAACTATTGCTTCAACATACAACATTTTTGCTGGGCAAGAGTAGGCAGTATGCTGAACACATCCTTCACCAACACATGATTGCCTAACTGGATGGTTGTGAAGTCTTCTTAAAAGACATTTTGTCTCCATAACTTTTTCATCCAGAAATTAATGAATAAGAACTAGGCTTATTGCCAACATGCCGAAATTTAATATTCTCTTTAAAAAGTAATTTTTAATTAGTAATTATTTATTTATTTGGTTTTAAATGTGTAATTTACCATCTACAATAACGTCATAGTTGCATTCTACTGCTTCTTGAACTTCCATAACAGGTGGTGGTAGGGCATAATTGTGGTCTAGATTGACTCTCTCTATTTTTTAATAATCATATTACTTGTATAGAAACGGTAAAAAAATAGTTATAAAAATTATTAATAAATTAGAATATTTTTTAGCAGTTTGCCGATAATTGTGATTATTTTGTTAAATACTTGTTGGTTTTCAGCGTTGGTTTCACTGTCTACCACTTGAGATATTGTTAATATATTTAATTGCTTATCATTTATCTGACAACCACTTATATAGGTACCTATAATACCTATACAATAATTTATTGCACCTTTCTCCAGTACCTAGTCAATAATGAAATTAATAAGTGATAACAAGATACACAAATTTGGTTTGTCTTGACAATTATATGTTTAAACTTTATTAATTTGACAATTTGTCAATTTTCTGTTATTCGGCTTGTAATGGATGATTCGAATAATCGTTGGTTAGTTATTATGACTATACAACAATTCTGTGACATACCTAATATTTTCCTCTTCGCCAGACGACAGTGAAAATGGCAGCAATAAATTTAATTACGTACAGAGTGTAGAAACCAAAACTGCAGTACCTCAGTTTCAGAATTATGTTGAAATTATCATACCACAATTCAAACTTCACTTCAGGTTAGAAGTCTTTTAAGTTTTGAATATTACAATATTCTATTACTTTTACCAGATATGAGTAACTACAGATAAGTTGTAAAGATTCTACATTAAATCAATAATTGTATTATTTTTTAGAATGCTTCTTACAACATTTTAAATTGAATCAACTCTAATTGCTCCAAACAACCAAGCGGGATTAGAAATCTTTTTTACTAAATAAACAATTTTTTAATTGCAATTTGGAAAATGGCTACTCCTGACTTTTACAGGTACTTTTTTTAAACATACATAAAATTATTGTTACATGTTATACTATTGTATTATTTATTAAATATTTATTCTTAGCTCTATCTACTTTAATATACTTAATAACATTTTAGATTGTACCTATATCAATTTGGAGTCTCAACAATCACTACAGCCTGATTAGAACTACTCCCGCTCAAAACAGTTTTTGTTATATCATACATTAATATACTGTATTCAAAGATAATCAGACAACACATGTAGGTATAGAGTCCTCTTAGTTGTTATTATTCTGTATTTCTGTGTAGAATGATGATTCATCTATTATCATTTTGTTCTAATTTTTACTTGGTATATTTCTTATTGTAGTTATTGTTTTATGGTTCATTTTAGGTCGATCAATTATTGATTATAAATGCCACCCAGTATTCAGCCAATCGATGGCTAATGCATTCATTATTCAAAATCAATCACAGATATAACCTATAAAGCATTGATTTTATAATAATATATTATAAAATCAATGGTAATAGGTAAGATGCCAATAAAAAATAGTAATCTTCAATAATTTTACATGAACTAATTGTATTTTAATTACTCCAGAACGAAAATGTAGTCTAAACATGGATCTTGATCAAGATCAAATTATATGACGTTTGCCATCTACTTCAGCATCAGTTTCTACGGTTTAATCTGAAAAATGAATTTATGGTAATAATTATTTCATTATTGTTGATTAAAATCCCATGATATTTATTTTTTAATAGAAACACCTATACACATTAAGCAAAAAAGAAAGTGTTTTGTTGGAAATATCAAAATTTTGGATCTAGAAAATTAAAACGTTACCTTCAAAAGGAATAATATACAAATTAATATTGGCTCAAAAAAATAAAATTAAGAATTTGAACGAAGCCGTTCGATGGCTAAGGTAATAAATATATTATCTCTCCTAGAAACTCTGTTCAAGTACTTGAAAGATAATAATTTAATGACTGTTAATTATGGTTAATTATATTTACTTATACTCTGTCTCAAAAGAGAACAATCATTCGGCTGACCGATTTACGTCAGTGCTTTGCATCTCCCAATTCCCACTGGTGTTAGCATTATGGTGTGGTTCTAAGGGCCTCAATTGCAATCATTCACGATGGGCAAAAGTGATTATTCTCTTTTGAGATAAAATATAGTTTTTGTAAGCCTTATAACTGCATAGTACCTCACTTATGGTTATTGCCACTGTCTTATAATATACCTATGCGAGTATAGCACTGGTTATTTTGCTATGATGTTGGTTTAGGCTGATACTGTGTTTTTGTTGAATAATTAAAATTTGTTAAACATAATATGAAACAAAAAGTAATTTGTTCTATATAATAAATTGTTATTTAAATTTCAGTTGAGATAATGGATTACATGAATAGTATATTAATGATCAAGATGCTCCATTAGAGACTTCATTAAGGGCAACAGCTCCAAAACGTAAAATCTATAAAGCACAGAACTCAGAAGTATTTTCCAGAATACAGATAAATAAGTGCAAGGGTTGGTTCCCTGAAGTTGCTACAACGTTCCACTCTTAGCAATGCCACAATAATGGATTAGTTGATGTCATAAAAAGTAGTTTTCCAGATTCAAATATTGCTCAAGATTAAACTGTAAAGAACTAAAATGGATTTTATTATTACAACTGCTTTGCATCATAAAAATGTTGTTTTTTCTAGAATACTTGAAAATACTAAAACAGTACAATTTAGTAGATGACTAGTATAAGGGATAATCAAAACATCTTGCTTTACCTGAGTACACTCAAGTAATAATTATTGTTTAAAACAAATACATAATTTAAAAATTGTTATTGTTAATCACTTATTACTTTTATTTACATTAATTAATTTTTATTAAGTATTTTAATGGTTTGTTTGATAATAAGTCAGGGAAAATAGAGTACATTTTGGGATTTATAACATGAAGTGTATAATTCTAAAAAAAAAAACTAAGAACCACCATTACCTTGAGAGTTGAAATTATAAGTACTTCACTGATATCTACCTATCACAGATACTTGTATCTTTTGAATATATTTAAAATGCACTGAACAATCCTTTTAACAATACTTTTTCCTGCAATTAGTTCTACTAAAATGTATTAAGTATATCTGTTGTATAACATTATTTTCACCTCGGAATTGTATTAATGAAAATTATTAATTTTATATTCAACTTATTGTAATAGATTTAATCAATAATGTTTTATTGTATGTTATATGTGGTTTCTTGTAATAATTAATAAGACATAGTAACTATGCTAATAATATGATTTATTAAAAGCATTAATACTTGACATACGAGTGTTTACTAACTAATTGAGTGGTGTGTATATTTGATGTATCTTTTAGATTATGTATATCACATTATAGTATCAATTATGTGCAATGCAAAACATTAACATCTATATTGACAAAAAACTTAACTTTTCAAAATATATTCAAGGTATCAAAAAGAAATTATAGCATCAAAATTCTCACTTTTTCCCCAACTTTACCACAAAAGTCATATTCCCGTCAAAACCAAAATGTATATGTATAAAACCTACATAAGGCCAATCCTATTGTATACCGCACCATCTTGGATTCAAAAATTTCAATAACCAACTTGAGAAAACAAGAATCGCTTCAAAGCAAACTTGGTATGTCAATAACATTGATAGTTGCCACTCTTCATTTGTTCCCACTCTTGAAGATGAAATTGCTAGCTAACCCTTAATACTGAACACAAAATATTAAACTGGTCATTCGAGCACATTAGATGCACAAGCAAGAAACGATATACATCTCAGAGAGGACCCATCAATTTAATTAAATAAACTAACTACATCACCTAATTCATCTCTTCTGGTATGAGTCAAAGCTCAGAACAGGTTTATTCCAAACAAAGCAATGCAATGCAAAAAAACATTAACAGAGTTACAAATTTAAAAGTGACTTAACAAGAGTTAATATTACCAACAAAAAGCTCTGTACAATGAGCTGAAGATACTACCCATTAAAAAATGTTTGCTATAACACTTATTACATTTCTTGGGAAACATAATATATATTATTATATTAAATCCCATATTGTATAGCATCAATAATAGGTATGCTAAAATTATTTTTGTGGTAAACCGTTTGCATAAAACAATTTCATGAAGACATTTTTAAACAATTTGTACCAAAATAATTAATAAATTACCTTGCTGATATTATAAATCTTATTTGGATTATTTAAAAAAAGAATTTTTCTGTGTTTATTAGACTAAAATAAAACAGGATATAAATGATAAATTGTTATGTATACTTTATAAATATACATTTATGGTTGTATTCCATTGTTTTTATTTTTCAGTTGCTTGTTTATATTAATTCTCGTTATTATGTACTTACTTCTTTTTCTTGTTCTTCTTACTCATTGTTTTAGTTGTGTGATTTATGTTATAGTCTGTAGATAATATACTTTAATTAAAACCATGTATTTGATATCTATTTGCGAAAATTCTTAGGCTCATACAATATGGGTTTGATCATTCTTCCAAACATATTCACTATTCATTGTATGAAATTAAAAGAAATACATAATTTGTAACAACAGCTATGTCAATTATAGGTATTTTGCCAACTACGATAATTAATTATAACAAAAATATTGTTTTCAATTCAATTATTGATTCTCAATGGGTGTAGAAAGTTTTTACAATTAACTTCACTAAAGTTTAAAAAAAAACGTAGAATATGAGTAATTTTTTTCTATGACAATTTTTTTTGTTCGGTGAAACAGAAAACATAAATGCTAGAACAAATATTAATTATTAAAACCAAACGTCCAAACCCATCGATTATAATATATTAATAATACCTATTAGGAACCTATTTGTAAAATAACATTTTTATAATTCACTCATAATTAATAACCCTTCATTAACAATGAGTTATTTTTTAACTATAATAATTATTTAATAAGTCAATAATTTATAATAAATAACAAATAATAAAATAATAATAATAATAAATATCAGAAACATTTAAACCGTAACTTCGTCGCTTATGGTATTTATTCTTCTACCTTCACACATATTATACTCAGTAAAAAGATCATAAGTAACTTCATTTAGAAATAGTAAAATTAAAATAATTGTAATTCAAAAATGATACATCTAAATATTTAAATCATTTTATAAGTAATAAGTACAAAACATGAATTTGCTTAGGTATATCCATATATTAGAGCTCTTTAGGAAGACGTGTAATTTAATTCGCGTTTTTCCGTGTGACACTGTGACTTCAAATTAAAAAGTATGGGACTGAAAACAGTGACTAGTGGAAAGCGCGGACATGACTGTTGAAAAATTCAATAATAGTTGGGAACTTTGTCCATGCTTACTAGGTATAGAAAGACATCAATTAACAAGCCGTACTAACACGGCTGCACGACAACTAGTGTTGCCCTGTTGAATTATTATAGTACATTAGTGAATTTATAGTTATCGGTTTATTACGATATTGGGATGTTGTTCACCAGTGTCCATGATGTCCAAACTACTCAGGGAATAATATGTCAAGTCTACAACAAATATTTGTAAATTGGTGGCCCTAAAAAGCCCAAAAAGGCCGTTTTAGATAGTTGTTAAACGAGATGATAATTATTTGGAGCTGGTGTATTTGGTAACGGCCTTGGTTCCTTCACTGACGGCGTGTTTGGCCAATTCTCCAGGCAACAAGAGTCGGACGGCGGTCTGGATTTCCCGGCTGGTGATGGTCGAACGCTTGTTGTAGTGGACCAGACGACTAGATTCAGTGGCGATGCGCTCGAACAGGTCGTTGATGAAGCTGTTCATGATGCTCATGGCCTTCGAAGAGACGCCGGTGTCGGGGTGTACTTGTTTCAGTACTTTGTAAATGTAAACGGAGTACGATTCTTTTCTCTTGGGCTTGCGCTTCTTGTCGGACTTGGCGATGTTCTTTTGTGCTTTGCCGAACGACTTCTTCATCGCTTTACCCGCAGAATTTCCTCCTGGAGCCATCGTGGATAAATGTAAAAGCAAAATCGTATTGACGACTGAAACGTTGTGAACTGAGTGATGGGTTGGCACGGTAAACGGTGAGTATATATATTGCCAAGCTCGAGTGATATATCGTTTGTTGATCGGAAAAAATAGTACAATTATGACAATATAAACATGGTTGTTGATTGATCCATAGTAACTGAAAATATCAGCTTCTCAGCAAATATATTTTACGATAATGTCGATCAAAAACAGCATATCTTAGTAGTTACTGCTGCGTAAACTGTGTCATGTAGACTCGTCATACTGGTTTTTTTCTGGATAATCATAGAATTGTTATCCGCCTTTTGACTATTGGTAAAACAAGATAACGGTACGCGCTCTGGTGACAAAATCGTCAACTCGCCGATTCGGGATAGATATTGTGTTTACATTTTTAAAAGATCTCTTGTACCAAGTTTCTTACCATCAAAAGGACATTTTATTTCTATAATTTTGATGGGTACAAAATATTCATCAATGATGACTCCATCTGGAGTATAACCTAACCAAGGATTGTTAACATTAATCACTAAGCCTCACTCTAAAATACTTGTATTAAATTCTTTTGAATACAAATCTCTGGCGATGTTTTCATATTGTAAACCATATTTAACAAACTTATTTGTGAATAGTTTTGGCCAAAAATATCTTGTGGCTTTCAAAGACCATTGTTCATCTGTTTTGAAAGTTTTATTAAAGGTATACAGCCCATAGCATCGACTTCCTGTAATTCTGTACTGCCGACAATGGTCCCAAAAAGATTTGTCTTTTTGAGATCGATATAATACTTCATAAAAATCAGTTGACAATTTAGTAAATGATACCTTGCAACAATCACCCATATTCATGACTGGGTAGTCTCGCAAATACACTAACAAAGGATGAGATGACACATTCAGTTTGGACAACTGTGTGTTTGCTGCCAATATCACTGATGATTGGTTAGTTGGAAAATGACGACCCAAGGAATGAAGAGCAATTGCTGAAGTTGGTGCAGCAGCTAAGAACCTTGACCTAAAATTGGCTTTTGTAGTAATTATTAATTTATAAATCAAAATAAACATACCTACCTAATTGTATCTATTACATCAGCGTCAACAGAATTTGAATCAACAACATTTTTCTTATAACAGTCAAAGCTATCAATTGGTAAAGGTTTATAATGTGTTAAGGTAGGTTCCTTTAATTTTGACCACTGACATGTTATGTCAGTTGATGACAAGTTGTCCAAATTAGCAACTGAATTTCTGAAAATTAACAATAGTAGGTAAATGATAACTTCATGTAATATTTAATGTTTTATTGAATCCCGTTTAAAGAAAAAATATTTCAAAACACTTACTTTCAATCATTGTCAAAATAATTGAATTTTTGCCATTTGAAAGTAAGTTTTTTGTTTAAGAAAATTGAATTATTTCTTCTAAATTCCAATGCTTGTTTAAAATTTTGAATAAAAAGAATTACCTGTTAAGAAACAAAAGTATTGCAACAACGTGCTTACAACACTCAGAAGCTCCTGCTTTGCAACTGCATTTGAATTTAATAATTTCCATTTCAGGCTTTGTTAATTCACCGAAAACTGAATGGGGCATATCATTTAAATGTGATGTTTGAACAATTAATGCTCTAATTTGTATCACACTATCCTAAAAATAGAAATATTTCTATAGTACATAATATTATTTAGTATTTACATCAAGTTTGAAATTACATTGACATAGCTAAAGTCATATTTACCATTTCAATTTTACCGCACAATATAATCTGTTTACTTTTTAAGATTTGTTCTCCTTCTATTGCACTACGAGAATTTAAAGTGCAATTTGCATAAGTAAATATTCTTAATAGTGACAAAGACATGTTTAAGCATTATTATTAAACAGTGTACTATTTTATATAAAATACTTAAATAAAGTACTTACACTTACTACAGTTGAAGATTTAAAATAGGTAATAGCCCGGGAAATACGTCCCGACTCGGTGCGGTGCGGTACCCGCCCGACCATTGTACTAACAGCGCGCCCAGTGTTATCTTGTTTTACCAATATAAACCATAATTTCATGTTATCACGTATCAGTTTCATTCGGTATAACATCAGTTAATCAGTTCTACAAGCAAGCACTACAACAGCAATTATGAGCGGACGCGGCAAAGCAGGAAAAGCGAAGGTAGGCAAATCCAAAACCAGATCGTCACGTGCCGGACTCCAGTTCCCGGTCGGTCGTATCCATCGATTGATGAGAAAAGGAAACTACGCCGAACGTGTCGGAGCCGGAGCTCCAGTGTACCTGGCCGCCGTCATGGAATACTTAGCTGCTGAAGTCTTGGAGTTGGCAGGTAATGCAGCTCGTGACAACAAGAAATCTCGTATCATCCCCAGACATTTACAATTAGCGATCAGAAATGACGAAGAATTGAACATGCTACTGTCCGGTGTAACAATCGCCCAAGAAAACTGAGAAAAAAGCTTAATTAGTGTTTTACTATCCTAACAAAATACGATATATTTAAAAAGGCCCTTTTCAGAGCCACCAAATTCATGTGACTAAGTATATAATACAACCTTAAATAATTCCCATTCAATTCTATATCCGTTAACAAAATACATATTAATATTATACTATTTATACGTTAGAAAAATATACATGATATTATGTTGCAAAATTACTAGTTAGCCGCAACTAAAATATTATTGTAGTATTTTCTTACCTCTTACACAACCATTGTTTCTATTGTTTTAGAGTCTTAAATTTAGACTAATGACCGAATATTTTAAATAAGAATAAATCCAAGTTTAGTCAATGTTAGTCTAACCTAAATAAGTGTTTGTCGATATATAATTATTAATTACTGAAATTTTGTATTGATAAAGAATGACCAACATCAAAAGCAAGTGATACCATTATCATTGACAATAGTTATTACCTACTAAATAACCTATAAAATTGGTCGAAAGAAAATATTTAATGAACAATTGTAAACAGGAATCTCGCATTATTCGCCGACGACTCAATGTTCCTAACAGCGAATCGAAACCCTAAATTTGCAATTGCTGCTCTACAAAGACAAGTTGACCTGGCTTTAGCGTGGTTCAAAAACTGGAGGTTAGGCATCAATACAAACAAGACAGTTGCTATTATGTTTAATAAAAACTCCACATTTAACTTGAATAAAATTACCATGGCAGGAGTGCCCATCCCGTGGACAAAACATGCGAAGTACCTCGGAGTCACTTTTGACAGATACCTTACCTTCATTAACCACGTTAAGAATACTCTTATCATAGCGCGCAGATGCAAAAATATGCTTTACCCCATTCTAAATAGCCGAAGCCCAGTGCCGCTCAAATCAAAAATACAAATATATCTTATGTATATCAGACCCCTCCTAACGTACGCCGCCGAGGCCTGGGGCCCTTGCATCTCGCCCACAAACTGGAATCTAATTGATTCTGTTCAGACCAGCTGCATAAGGACCAGAGCTGGCCTCATGAATTTCGTTTCCAATCAAAACGTTCGGGACTCTGCCAGACTAAAAACCCTACAGGAAGTAGTCGCGGGTAACTCAAAACACCTATTCAATCAAAACCAATTCTCAAATCATAACCATATCAAAAACTTAGGCCGTGACGAAGCCGTATTGACAATTAGATCAATCCCTAAAATACGGCCATACGATTGGTCAGACTCCTAAAAAAATCCTACTCATGATTTCCCTCAACACTTAATAGGCATCAGCCTGAAAAGTGTACATAGGCCAATAAATGGCCGTCCTACATGCAATGCAAAAATTCTGGTATCATTCACCTCTAAGTGTTCTTTCCGTACAGACGTCAATTGCTAGCACTCTCAATAGTGAAATATCACGAACTAACATCATGGGCGGCCGCAGAGCCGGTTCAAAAAGGAATCGGACTCCTCCACTCACCGAACCAAAGAAGATCCGCAATGAGACCTTCTCACCACCACCCCCACAACGTCCTGAACCGCCATCGCCCGATCCATCCGACTCAGAATCGCTGTCAGGCGATTCTTACGTCTCATCGGATAACTCCCAATCAGCCACCGACATCTCGGACACAGGCCCGCCTGAGCCTCCATCCACACTCTCACCAGGTAGGTCAATTAATATTATTAACACAACCAAATCATCGGACTCCTCCGTCAATGTGAATGACCTAAGAATTCTATACTGGAATTCAAACGGCATCAAATCCAAAATTAACGAATTATACACGCTCATGACAAAAACCAATGTAGATATCACATTATTAAATGAAACCAAATTAAAACCCATCAACCAACTCAAACTCCGTAACTGCCATGTCTATCGTACTGATAACACCTCAGGCTTACGTGGTCAAGCCTGTGGTGGCACCTCCGCGCTAGTTCACCGCAGAATAGTACACAGGCACATTATTATACCGACTACAATTTCCTCAACCACCGTCGAAATATCTTTGGACAACTACCTAATACAAATCTCCACCATATACAAAAGTCCTAACAAACCAATGAAAACCGACGACCTAAATGCGCTGACAAATGGCAACCATTGGTTTATTGTGGCAGGTGACCTAAACGCCTAACACCCACTCTGGCACAGTCGTTGCTCAAACGCCGCCGGCACCATATTATATAACCATGCTCTAAATGATGACTACGCTGTTACAGCCCCGGACACACCAACGTTCTTCCCAGCTGCCATTGGTCACAGACCCGACGTCTTAGATATAGCGCTAATCCGTCTCCCACAACTATTCTACGATGTAACAAACCTAAATGAACTTTCCTCCGACCACAAGCCAGTACTACTTACGCTCTCAGACTCTCCAATCACCTCCTCACCACCACAAAACTCAAGATGCGTTAACTGGACCAAATATATAGCCATTACTGATTCTCTTTCTCCGTCGATGAACCAGCCAATCAGAACGCCCCGAGACATTGACACAGCTCTTTTACCACGAACATTGAAACTGCTGTTAACGACAGCACGTACACAAAAAACCTCCCGAAATCGTTAATGAAATCGAAATCAAAAACCGTCTACGTCGCGAATGGCAACGTTTTCGCGATCCATTGGTCAAACGTCGTCTAAACGGTAAGATAAAATGTATACGTCTCATTCTCAAAACACACCGTGATGACGAATGGGATCATTTCCTCGATACCCTGGACGCCCAAGACGGTTCAATTTTCAAGTTAATTAAGAAACTCCTAAACAAAACCCCTGCGGTCCATCCGCTGATTGGCCCAAACGGACTTATGTACAAGTATGAAGAAAAGGTTGAATAATTTGCTGACACATATGAACGCCAATTCAAGTCAACTACGGGCCCAGTCATACCAGAAGTCAACACCTTCATTCACTCCCTTCGGTTATCCACACAAACTGTCTGTTACACATCATCTGGCACAGTCCAACAAATAATCAACCGAATCCCAAAACGCAAAGCACCTGGCGCAGACTCCATCACTAATATAGCCATCAAACTCCAACCCAGGAAGTCAGTTTTGCTCCTCACTCACATACTTAACGGTTGCTTACGTATTGGCTACTTCCCAACGGCATGGAAACATGTAATCGTCATAACTATCCCCAAACCAGGAAAGGACCACCGTCATCCAGTCAACTACCGCCCTATTGCACTACTATCCTCCCTCTCAAAAATCTTTGAACGAGTTGTTTTGGTGAAACTCAATGCTGCGATTGGTTCCAAAATCAGAAATGAACAATTCACTTTCCGTCCACAACATTCCACAACCCACCAGCTAGTTGGCCTAATTGACCAATTGGAAGCAAATTCAAACAGCAAACTGCGGACAGCAGCCATCTTCCTTGACGTCGAAAAAGCCTTCGATCGTGTTTGGCCCTCAGGCTTATTGTACAAGCTCCATATCTTGGGAACCTCAACCAAAACGCCTGGCTTTACCTATTCGCCGACGACATAATGTTCACCGCCTCGAATAAGAACCCCAAAAGAGCAGCCATTCAATTGCAAAAACAATTAAACATAACACTAACCTGGTACGACGAATGGCGTCTCAACATCAATGCTCAAAAAACGGTTGCGGTCATGTTCAACGGTCCTAACAATTTCGCTTCACATCACTTGAACCTAAACGGTCACCAAATCCCCTGGTCTCCTACATCAAAATACCTTGGTGTAACCATCGATCGAAATCTTACGTTCTCAGCGCATATCAAATCAACTGTCAAGAAACCCACCACCGTCCGCGGCATGCTGTATCCAGTCCTAAACCGCTCCAGCCCCATCCCCATCAAAACAAAACTTAATATACTGCAACTGTATATTAAACCCATCCTATTATACGTCGGTCCAGCGTGGGGACCACTAATATCTAAAGCAAATTGGCACAAACTCGAAGCTGTCCAAAACATCGGCCTCCGTACTATCACATCCTCCCCATGGTTTGTGACAAATAAAATAATTCTCTCTTCAACACGTACCTCCACCATCAAACAATCAATAATAACTAACAGCAAGAACCTATTTCACCGGAATTCAAATTCAACTTTCGCCCCCATCCGCAGTCTTGGACAATCTACCTTAGCTACCGACCCAACCTCAAAACCTACAAAGCCTCGCCCGCTCTTATGGTCTAACTCAAACTAACAAAATAATTCACCACACATTACTCAACTCGTCATAGGCTAACGCCTGGTACGAGTTTATAGGCACATCGCAGTTATATAAGCAATGCAATAAGCAAAGCAAAAAATGTTCCGGTATCAGTTCATGTTCGGCGTCCGAAGCAGTAGTTTTGACTGTGCACATCAGCAACCAACGCTACATTTCACTATGACAGGAAGAGATAAAGGAGGAAAAGGTCTTGGAAAAGGAGGAGCCAAACGTCATCGAAAAGTGTTGCGTGATAACATCCAGGGAATCACCAAGCCCGCCGTGGAGGAGTGAAACGTAGGTATCTCCGGTTTGATCTACGAAGAAACCCGCGGTGTGTTGAAAGTGTTCCTGGAAAACGTGATCCGTGACGCCGTCACATACACCGAGCACGCCAAGAGGAAGACGGTTACCGCCATGGACGTCGTATACGCGCTGAAACGCCTTTACGGTTTCGGAGGTTAACTCTGACATTATATACTACACATACGAATTATTGAAAAGGCCCTTTTCAGGGCCACCAATAATAAATATAATTTAACGACTGATATCGCTTAGATTTGACTGCAAGTACGATCATTGGTAATATTGGTGTTCCATATTTGTCATGTATATGACATGTGGATATTCTATCACTCAGTGCACCATGCAGTGCAAATATTTTGTTTTTGTTTTCAAGCAACTTCTATAAGTTGTTTTTAGTATGCCAATATGTGGTTTTATTTAATAGTGTAAATTCATGTCCTAAAACGTGATGTACCTATTAGTTTGGTTTAGTTTGTGAACATTCTGACTTTTGGCAATAACATGTTTCTGCTTATCACCTTTCAATGAAAAGTCGATTTTTAATCATTATCCTTTAATTATTTTTTCTATGATTCAATATAAGTGCATTGTTAAAATACGTTTTTAAAACTACTTAAAAGTCAATTAAATATATCTTTTTGAAGTAAATTAAAAAATAACAAAATTATTTAAAATATTATTACATTCTTCTTGGACAATTTTAAATTAATACATATAGACAATTTAGCTCATATATAAATAGATAAAATATCACTATTTCCTAAAATTTTTAAAAATATTTAAAAATATTTAAAAACTATTTTACTGCCAGTGCAACTACATGCAGTCATTTTTTTGTACTACCAAACATCGAATCGTCGTAAATGATACGGGTGTTTTTACTGGACTTTGATCAAATCTTACTAACTGAAATGAAATGAAAACATTTTTGAAAAATTAAATCAGCAAAATTGAGTATAGTAGTAGGATGATAGTATTTTAATATTGAAGTATTGTATATGAATAATATGATAATAGATTAAAATTGTTTAGTTAATTTCTTACCTTTAAACTTTTGTTTCTTTGCCAGGTTCGATTCATTCAATTTGGTACGACATTCTATTATAGTTTTAACTAACTGATCATTTGTTACTTTGTTCTTCTTTATTTCAGGGTATACCATCTGTATCACATATTAATATTAAAATATAATTAAAATAATAATATCTTTTTTTTCTATTTCAAGTATTTACATCTAGCACTCGTGTGCCTAAAGTACGGCAAGATGTTTTATTCTTCAAGTTTGTCAATGTATTTTGCATGTATGTCAGTCTGTTTTCATCATCTTTCGTTTTAGATTTTAATAAGTTATTTTCGTCCTTATATTTCTCCAAACCATTGTTTTTTAACCTACAGACCAATTTTCATTTAATTATTTTTATTAACCACAAATATGTGTTATAATAATATATAGATTCATATATAGATTTATAAAAAATATTATGTATACATACGTTAAGTCTTTATTTAAATTTTTCAGTCTCCGGATTTCACTTAGTGCATCGTTTAGATTCTTTAAATTAGTTCTATGATCAATTTCTTTTAGATTTTTAAGATTTTTTATTTGAGTGAAAAGATTAGAGTTCTTTGATTTTTCGTCATTGATCTGATCTTGTAATCTATAGATTTGTTTCTGCAATGACTGAAAGTAAAAATAAAAATTATACATTATTTATCTATAATATCCTTAATATTTCAGTAATAAACTACAGTAATGATAGTTTCATCATTTATTTAAAAAAATAATTATTTTTATATAGGTATTATATTATATTTTTTAATACCAAATACTAATGTCTAGTTGGTATATAATGATTGTTTTAAGAATATTGCCTTACTTCTTTGATAGAAATTGACTTTGGTTGTTCATATTTGCATTCTACAATTGATTTATTTATAATTACGACATTATCTATACTTCTTTCTAAATTTTCATTTCTGTGTCTTAATTTTATAATAGTTGCCTCTAATTGTTCTATCTTTTGTCTTGATACAATAGATTCTGGAACAATGAAAAGTAATAATTTTTCTGTAGGTATCTAAAGATATCTTTCTATGTTAGGGTCCAACATAAAATAAAATAGTGAAGAAAAACACATATGTTAATAAAATGTGATGTACCTTTTTTATTTGCATGTATTATATTTTGTAAATCATTAACTTTTTTGCCAAAAATACTGGATTGTGTTCCAAGTTCATTTTTATCATTGTTATTGATAATTGTCTATAGGTAGAAAAACATTGAATTATTTTATTTAATAACATAATAATTTACAATCATCATAGGTGGTTAGAATTTACAATAAAACCAAAACGAAATTTATTTTTCATTGCGTCTTCATTGCGTCAGGTTTTATTCTATTTTTTTATTATTCTATATTCTTACACTTTGTAGTCGAAGTTGCTTGTCTTGCATTGAAATCATTGCATCTCTATTAGCTATCTCATTTTTAAATGGTTCGGTAGTTTTTTGTAATGCTTTGATTTTCGCATCAGCCTTCTTATTATCGTACAAACACCTACTCATTACTCTCACATATTGTTGTCTATAATGATCTTTAAGTGACTCGTTTTGTTCATATAAACTATTAAACACAAAGAAATAACATACTATTAAGGTTTATTGTAGTTCATGGCGTATGTAATAATAAAATGCTTAAGTACGTTTTTATCTTTAGTTCTAAAACGTGTATTCTACTAATGTAGTGTCTTTCGTTCAATACACCTGTAACAACAATTTTTAAAATACATAAAAATTGAAAGTCAGGAAATCAGAAAAATTGGTAAAAAATTTATAAAAGTAGGTTTCAACCAATGTGGTGAAACACTCTAAAATCACAAGTTTGAAACATTTCCTGAATTAGTTTTTTACAAGGTATACAATGTCATAAACTCAAATTCATAAAAGACTTTTATCGAACAACAGGGGCCTAATTTGAGTATTTTTAGTTTTTAGCCATTATTAAAAAAAGCAAATTTTTCTTTATCATAATAGTTTACTTATTTTATATACTTGCATTTAGCACATACATGATGGCTCAAGGGTTATAGTTAGATTATAATATCAAATAAACGTATATATTTTGTTGAATTCAAAAATTTCAAAGTTGTAAGTTGTAAGTAGTGCACTTATAATATAAATATACATACTTAGGTAGTTAAATAATAACACCCTGACACCCCTCACTCAAAATGTTGCCACTGTTAAACCATGTGGGGTGAACATTAAATAAAAAATGAATTCAAGAGTATTAGTGTTCAATAACTATTTCATAAAAAAAAAATTGAGAAAGAAATATAATAGATGTGATAGAATATAATAGGATATTATTATATCTAGACAATAAAATATTACACATAGGTATCTCATTCATAATTATTTAAGTATTATTATAGTACTTGGGGTTTAATGTAAAATTTACCGCATAAAGTTTCGTTGGGTTCGTCTTTTTTACCAACTTTTGACTGATACTGTGAAGTATAATAATATCTGTATTAGTAAACATAAATATATTACATTATAATAAATAACTTGTAAATTTATAAATTACCTGATTATAATACAAAATTATAACTTATAAAATGTATGTCTTATGTGTATATTATAATATAAAATATATACCTAATACTGGCTAAAAGTATCATACACAAATCGTATTATTTGTACAATTTGTCTACTTATAAAAAATAATGGCTGAAATATTAGTTTTACAATATGAATAGTATGCCTACCTATCGATTTTACAAAATGTAATGTGTTTTTTAAATATTATCTTTGAATCAACGATTTATATTTGTTTGTTTTTTTGTAGAATTAGATCTAGTCTGTACATTTGGAGGGTTTACCTAACCAGAAAGGTTTACTCAATGGCTAAAGAGACTTTTAAATTTTAATAGCTATTAATAGATATTTGAAATGTTCACTTTTTATATCTTTTTTTACAATTTATGTAGGAATATTAACAATTTTGTTAGTAAGTAAAAATATTGAAAATTGAGTATGTGATGATTACTTATGATTTTCATAAAAAGTAATATTATTTAAAAAAATATCAGAAATATAGTTACTAATTTTATTCATACGCATTTGAAATGTTGTTTCTTTTATTTTATAAAATATTATGTAGTTAAAAAGTTGTAGGTTAGTCATATGCTATATGTGTATAATATATATATATATATGCTATATGTTAGTCCTATGCTAGTCAAAAAAAATAAAAATGTCATTTAAGACCACACAATATATTAAGTTGTCATTATAGAACAATATAAATTTCAAAAATATAATATTATATTATATTATGCACCACTTAGGAGCGTTTCACGAAATTTAGATATTCAACTCTAGCGTGGTTGGAGGACAAAAATTAGTATAAGCACATAAGCACTTATTATATTAATGTTTGACAGCATGAGTAATATGAATGATTTTATATAAATTCAATTTATTAAGTTGTTATCATGATGTGAAGAATGTGGCAGCAGTTGTCGTGATTGCACGCATTAGGTTAGGTAAATGAACAAATTGATATTTTGATAAAATAAATAATGATATAAAAATATAACCCATACAACTATCTTTTTTTTATATATTTTTCATAGTGATTAATATTGAATATTGTCAATATTGACATGTGCACACGTTTAATGTTTGTTATTTAATATTGTGAATCGTGATAGCTAATTTAGAGACGAAACCTGTGGTTTGTAGTTTTTAGTTTCGTTCCGACGTTTACCCGTGTTAGTTTTATTGTTCGACTTCAGCCTACTGATATTTGAAAATTATAAAATAAGTAATTACAATATTTTTGGCAATATCTCGTATAAATATATATAACATCTGAAACAAAAAAATATGGGCTTCGATGACATTCTGTTACAAATAGGGCACGAAGTTGAACAATATAGTGTAAGAAGATTATACTAGGTAATAGTATGATTTATATACCAACCACGTGTTCATGTTTGATAAAATTGTAATTATTGTAATTTGATAATTTATATTTATAACAATAATGCAGCTTACGAAAGGACAATCAAGATTATCGAAGTGGAACCTCAAATCTGTATATTTATCCTTCCATAGTTGTATTTCTTTTTTATATTCAGTAATGTCTTTTCCAGTATAAATATATCTAACTTTTAGTTTTTCAATTTCTGCCTAAAATACAAATTGTTAGTAATAAATCATTTGAAATCAATTTTAGTTACAATTTGATTTTGTTGGTTTGAAATTTCTAACTCATATTTTCGGACCATAGACTCCACTTCTCTTAATTCTTTTACTTTAAGGCGATATTTTGTTTTCAGGTCTTGAATTTCTTCTATAAATTTTGTGTTAGTCACCTAAGTATGAACAATTATCATCCAGGTTTTAATATCTTGGCACTTAACAGAAAACCTAATAATTAAATTAGTTTAATAAAAAAAACCAACAATCTCTCCTCTTAGACGCATATTTTCCTTCTCTAAGCTTGCATGTTCACTTATTGATTTTCGACATTGCCTTTGAATATAATTAAACTTTTTAGTAGCAACAGTAACATATTTTCGATATTTATCATTTTCCTCCTTTAGATCAGTACACAACAATAATTATACATCATTTATTTTAAGAATTCGATGATATAGTATCGTAATTATGGGTATGTGTAATAAATTATTATCTCACCCGATATTGTTTGATATTTGTATCTTTTATTTTATTATCCAAAATTAGTCTATTACTAGTTATATGTTTGGCTTGTAACTCTTCGTTGTGAAATGCTATTTGTGACTTGTACGCTAAAACCTCGATCTAAAATTGTGTATTTACTTTATTTTTTATTCTAAGATGTATCATTTATAATATTAAATTGCATTAAAATTACTTTAAGATCGTTAATTATAGCTTTTGTTTTTTCATTTTCTAATTTTATCATGTCTTTATCCTTGATATTTTTCAATTTTCTATCTTCATAACTTTTTATTTTTTGTGACAACTTTGTGTTATTTATCTAAGAATATTATCATTATTACTTATCATTGACATTATAAACTAACGTATTTTGTGTAACATTACCTTTAAAGTTAAATTTTCACTCTTAGCGTCTTTTAGTTTCTGGTCAACTCCTTTACATTTTGATATATAATTGAGCATGTTCATTTCTACTTCTTTTTTTTCCGATATTAAATCTTTGATTGTCTTATTCAACTCAACGATTTTTGATTTAAAATTGGGTATTTGTGCAATATTTTTCTAAAATTGAAAATAATTATAATAGGTACTTAATTATTATTTATAGGTACCAATGATAAAAAATAAATTATTTGACAATAGGAATACTTCTGCTCAGAATTGACACATTCATTAGTATTATAATTAACTTAAACTTACTTTAGATAAACTTTCTGATTTTAGTTTATCCTCTTTAATTGTGTTTAACTCAATTTCTAACAATTTATAATTATTTTTAAGCTCCGAGTGTTCATAACTCAATTCATAATATTTTTTTTCAATACTTTCTAACTTCTCTTCGAGTATCCTTGACGGATAGTAAGATTCAGACCTGTACAATTATAAATATACCTAATGTAAATACATTATTGGCTATTTGGCTATAGGTTTATTAATTGGTATATTTAGGTACCTATGTTTGAAGTTAAGTATTGATCATTCGGTGACAATAATTAAGCATTATATTCAGTGTTTGCCAGGTTTGGATAGAACGCGTTCGTGAACGAGAACATTTATTATAGAATGTGATATCACAAATTAAAATTAAAAAGTTCAAATTAATCGAACAGTACATTTCTCATACCTACATACACATTAAACATTTTAAGATTCCCTGTACATTTTAATAAATTTTAAAATAAATAATAAAATTAACAACCCGATGAACGCTTTTATATTTTTAATAAATGTGAATTTGTTCCTTTGAAAAAATAAAGAGTGCCAATGTAAAAGAGTTCAGCTATTTAGTGAATTTTTCAAACTGATTTTATTAGTATGTCAGCAGCGGCGGATTGACTAAACATTATGGCCCTGTAAATAACGGTGTATAATTAAGGTCTAACAAATCGACAGATCCCACCCGAATATGTAATAATTTATAATAATTAATAACTATAATTTTCCATAAAACCTTTTTTTTTTAGGAATTATTTTTAATTCATTTTTAATTTAATATAATATACGTATAACATCATACGACTGCATATTTTTTTATTAAAACAAATAGGTATCATACACATATGTTGACGGTTTAAAATAAAATATAAATTAACTCGTGTACACCACAAAAATAATATGTACTTATTAGTGTAGCCATAATTATATCTAATATCGTGATACGAGTATACGAAAACAGAGAACGTACACGTCATGCAGTTAAATATAATCAAATAATTTGTAATCCTACAAGTACACCGGCTTAGGGTTGAAATACGAGGATCGGCCCATCGGGAACTTTCCGGTTTCCCGGTGGGCCAATCTGTCGCTGTAAAAAGTACTTACTCGTCCATCCAAATAGGTTTTAAATCAACGTAATTGTTGTTATTGGAAATATCAGACTCCATATTTGATGTGATATAAAACAATTAATTATAAAACAAATTAAAATAAAATAAAATAGTTGAGCAAATGTATGTTAAATTTCAACAATAGTCGTTTCTAGGAACGTGTAGGTACAAAAAAACTACAGCTGGTATACAAATAAACAAATACTGTAATCAACTTCATAATATTTACCGATTGTTGACTATCAGAAAAAATCACTAAATATGCATGTTCTTTCCTTTTACGTGTAGTTCGTAGTTCTACGTGTGAATCTGTAACGTGGAATAGAATAAATTCCTTGTAAATAGTATAAGTCATTTTTATTTATATTACACTTTTTTTATTATTAATTTCACTGTAACGACGAAACCAAATTGTTATACAAACTGAGCTATAACGTTGTTTGAAAATAAAAATGCATACATTTTCTTTTCAGTATCTTTTATGATAAGGAACTGAATATTGTAAATACTTTGGGAAGAAGGCAAATGTCTGTTATTTTTCAAGAAAACTTTTCAAATACCCCTCAAAAAAATAAAAAAAAAAGGAAGGGATTTTTTTTTAAAACTAGTTTTTGACAAAATCAAAGTTCATCCCTATACTAATATAATAGTATTTCGATTATTTAAAATTAATTGTTTAATACTATAATGTTTTTCACCAAATATAGCCTAGATTCATTAACTCAGTGACAGTATTGTAGGTTTTAAAATATAATCAATATTATTATGACATCAAACGAAACGTACAACGATTACCTATCTTCATAAAATCAATTTTTTTTTAATTGAGAAAGTGGCAATTGCTATACTGTCTATTTGAAAAACTTCAACTCATAGGCATTCTGTTGGGAAATTCAGACTTCGTCATATGAACATTATGAACATAAATGAAGAAGGAAATAATATATGAGTTATTAAAAATTGGGCAAAGATGATTTCACTGGCATGGTTATTAATTAAGATTAGTAAGTAATATTGTGTGTAATATTCAACTTAATATTTCATTACTAAAAGTTAAAACTTAATGGTCTGCCTATATTCTAATAGTTAGAGCACTGTTTAAATATAGTGAATTAGCAATTAACTAGATTGGTGGCCCTGATAAGGGTCTTTTCAATAATTCGTATGTGCTGTACATAATGTCAGAGTTAACCTCCGAAACCGTAAAGGGTACGGCCTTGGCGTTTCAGCGCGTATACATACGACGTCCATGGCGGTAACCGTCTTCCTCTTGGCGTTCTTTCCCAGCTGGTGATGGTCGAACGCTTGTTGTAGTGGGCCAGACGACTAGATTCAGTGGCGATGCGCTCGAACAGGTCGTTGACGAAGCTGTTCATGATGTTCATGGCCTTCGAAGAGAAGCCGGTGTCGGGGTGTACTTGTTTCAGCACTTTGTAAATGTAGATGGCGTACGATTCTTTTCTCTTGGGCTTGCGCTTCTTGCCGGACTTGGCGATTTTATTTTGTGCTTTGCCGGACGACTTCTTCATCGCTTTACCCGCAGAATTTCCTCCTGGAGCCATCGCGGATAATTGGAAAAGCAAAATCGTATTGGCGATGAATGATGGGTTAGGACGGTAAACGGTGAGTATATATATTGCCAAACTCGAGTGATATATCGTTTGTTGATCGGCCAAAATAGTACAATGATGACAATATAAACATGGTTGTTGATTGATTGATCCATAGTAACTGAAAATAACAGCTTCTCAACAAGTATATATTACGAGAATGTCGATCAAAAACAGCATATCTTAGTAGTCACTAAACTGTGTCATGTAAACTCGTCATACCGCGTTTTGACTATATAAACCATAATTTCATGTTATCACGCATCAGTTTCATTCGGTATAACATCAGTTATTCAGTTCTACAAGCAAGCACTACAACAGCAATTATGAGCGGACGCGGCAAAGCAGGAAAATCGAAGGTAGGCAAATCCAATACCAGATCTTCTCGTGCCGGACTCCAGTTCCCGGTCGGTCGTATCCATCGATTGTTGAGAAAAGGAAACTACGCCGAACGTGTCGGAGCCGGAGCTCCAGTGTACCTGGCCGCCGTCATGGAATACTTAGCTGCTGAAGTCTTGGAGTTGGCAGGTAATGCTGCTCGTGACAACAAGAAATCTCGTATCATCCCCAGACATTTACAATTAGCGATCAGAAATGACGAAGAATTGAACATGCTACTGTCCGGTGTAACAATCGCCCAAGGTGGTGTATTACCTAACATCCAAGCCGTTCTCTTGCCCAAGAAAACTGAGAAAAAAGTTTAATTAGCGTTTTACTAAAATCACGAAATACTATATAATTAAAAAGGACCTTTTCAAGGCCACCAATATGATAAACTTCCACTTACAATTGTGTAAAAACATAACAATTCTATCACTTTCAATCGTTATGAAAAGGTTTTTATCGACTTAGGTATACCTATTTTAATAATTGTGCACATTATTGAGACCCACTAAACCTAATCTGGTCCAATGACTAAATACAAATCTTGTAATTGTAATATGTATTATAATAATGGTTAAAAATTTAAAATAAACAAAATCCGTAACATTAAAAATAATAAGATACCTGTTTTAGTTATGCCACAACATGTCATTATTTAAAAAGGCCCCACCAAATTTTCCAATCATAGTTACCAATTCAACATTGGTATTTCTGAAACAAAATAGAGCCATCTTATATCCCGGTACAACGTTAATCAATATTAAGTTTTATTTTTGTCTTCCTATAAATATTGAAAGGCTTAAATTATGGATAGAGGATGACAAAGATATTAAGTACGTACACAAAAACTGTGAAAAATAACTTTGCACTTTTTTAATTAAATAACTGTTATTTTGGGTTTATTAGTATAAATACATTTTATTCTCTTATATTTGTTATAATTATTAATTTATTAAACATCATAAAATTGTTTTTCAATATTAATTAGTACACTCATTTTCATGCATTTTTGTACATAGTAATGAATAAGTCTTACTTAGGTTAGTTTAAGTGATCTTACCAATAATTTTAAGTCAAATAATATATTTTTGTGATCTTCACCACCAATTTTCCTATTTAAAAAAAAAATGAATACTCCATTTTTTCCTAATTTTAACTATTCATCAAATTAAGCAGTACATAATGTAGGCATAGTCACTGAAATTAACTCAATAGGTAAATCTTAACTAAATTAATCATTGATACTTTTTTTTAGTCCATGCTATCAATGATATTTATTAATAAGGTTATTAGCCACGACAATTATTTGGTGAAAATTAGTTTAATTTATACACTTGATGAGTATATTCGACTGGGAAGGTGCAAATGTTCTGGTTTGTATCTCAATTAGAAATATTTGGTCAGCATTTAAGATGTAGGTATGTGCTCAACTGTGATCAGTGTACTGCAAGATGGATCATACATTCATACATGGCCATGAGAAGTGTGTATGATTATTGGGGCTGGAATTTGTATATTATTAACATATTTTTACTAAAACATGATAAATCAATTGTTGCAAATGATAAATTTGTGTATTGCAATTAAATAAGACATATTTTATTTTACATATTTTTACATACCTCATTATAAATACATATCTCCGCATTATTTATAAAATGTCTGTGTTTTTTTACATATTTTGTAAATTTCGTCAAAAATATAACATGTAAATTAATTTGTCAATTTACTTGATCAAAATTAGTAGTTTAATAGTATTATACATTCATACTTCAAGAGTACTCCTAAAAATTGTAAGTGTATATTAGGTTTATAATTGTATATTTTAATTTAACAAGTTTACATATTTTAAAATTTCTTTATACTTCATATCTTTTATTTTTTACTACATAGTAAATACGTTTATGTCACCAAATTACCATACTAATTTTAATTTTAAAAATTTAAAACGCTATACGGTTTGTCATTGTTTTATTTTGAATTGATTAAAAATTGATTAAATTATTTAGAATTGTATATTAATTTAACATGTTTTCATATTTTTGAATTTTTTTTATATCATAGTTTGTATTTCTTACTTAATATTTTGGCCATTTTAATTACATGCATATAAATACATATGTTTGGTTTTTTATTACATATAAATCCTAGCCCTAATGGGCCTAATGATTATGTTTACATATGCATTTAAGATTACATTTAATTGTTCTAAATGGATGTAAAAAATTCTTTCTCGGATGCCAAAATTTGATGTTGAACTTTAAAACATCACATGCACACAGTGCCATTATTTACTTTTTTTACAGATCAAAATTAAAAAATAAACTTTTTAAGAAAAAAAAAAAAATTTTTCACCATGTTTTATTGAAATTATAACTCATTAATACAATTAATTTCATAATTCACACAAATCATATTAAAATAACGAATAAGTTATAACATTAAACATTTATCCATTTCCACTAAAATGTAGTGCAATAATTTATAACAAACTGTCCATGCTTATGACTTAAACAATGACTTAATAATTACCCTAGTATGTTAATGTATTTATTAAAATTTGAAACAAAAACATCAATAAAATCGCACATTCAAATAAATTAAAACTAGAAAACAAAATGGTTTACAAAACTAGTGTAGGGATACAAACGTAAATTTCTTCTTATAGACTATAATTATTATAACTAAACAAGATAGTAACCAATTGACTAGAAACTGTGTGAATTATCTGACTAGGTAATATATTGTAATAATAATAATGACTCATTGTTTTTATAGTGTAAATGCATTGTTGAAAATCTGAGTATTTGGTAAGTATAAGGAAGCAATGAGTAAACAATGATACAGGAAGCTTATTGTGTAGATCACTGGAAGAATCGTAATTATCATAATACATATTATAAAATCCCGGGCAACTGAAGCAACTGAGCACCTCAAAAAACAAATAATTATTTGAAATAACAATATTTTTTTAACATCATAATTGCCACAAATCAAAATAAATACTACTTAGTTCTACATGTGTCATAGAGCTAACGATTAGCCCTTTTTTGTAGAAACGTTGGCAATACATACAAAGAGAAAAATGAAGCTCTTAGGATCCAGCAAGTGATAATAAAAATAATTCTTAATAAAATATAGTTTTAAAGAAATTTGACTTCATATTAATAAACAAATATATTCAAGCTTCACGGAAGTCTAATTCAGGTGCAGTATAAACGAAGTCTTTTCTTTTACAAATAATATATCAATTAATCACACTCTTTTGTGTATATAATACAAAATAATGATTTAGAAAACATAAAAGCAGCCATAATTGACTTTACAATAATATACCTTCTTTATTTTAATAAGGCGTCATAAAGTTTTTTTGAACTCCATCAACTAAATATTTGAAATTATAATGATTTGTTTTTTATTTAAAAGACTTAGGTATACAGTTGAGTATACAATGCCTACTTTTATTGGTCACAAAACGTTTTTTTTTCCACCCAGATATAATATTATAGTAACACATATAATAACTAATTGCCCAGTTGGTTGTGGTAAAAACACTTACCAAAGGACCACTGATGATATGTGACCTAAATTTGTTTGTTATAATTTATAGATTGTACCGTAAACAAACTTAAACACACATATTATCCTTGGCAGGGAAATCACAACTATTCAAAACTTTAGTTGTTGTGCGTGTTTGTGTTGGAAACTATATTATACATACATATTATCATTATGTGTGTATGCAAAATAATTATATATTTTGAACTTAACATTAGATAAAGACGAATTTCAACTATATAGAAAGTTAGAAATTCAATCTAAAACTATTTAAACTGAAAGCCAACAAGAATATAAATAAAACAATATAGTTTCCATACTAAACACATATTACATGAGCATTGGCCTAAGAGCTGTCAAAGGTTAGGTGTATATTTATGTGTACTTTATATATACTTAAAGTAGTTTAGTTAGAAAGTGTATGGAAGTAAGACGTTTGAGTTATAAGTCTTCAATTCAGTATAGAGAACACTTCAGTCCATTTTTAATGTTGGAAAGTTTTTAGCAACTATCAACTGTTCGTGTGGGAAATCCAGTGTAATAGTAAAGTGGAAAGCCATATTTGATACTGCCAGGACATACTCGCTGAGTGCAAACCAGGTGAATGCTGAAACTAAAACGACAAACGAAATTATCAAACACTATTGAATTTTATAATAATATGTTATTGAAGATTACCCAAGTCGTGGCAGTAGAACCGATGTTTGATAAAGTAAATTATCAATGTGAACGTTGACGTGATACAAACAGTGAACAGTATTTTCTTAATGGTATACGACAGACGCTGATGGTCCGTCATCGTTTTGTGCACCTTATTGAATGTCTTAATCATGACGATCATGTACAACAACGAGCTGAGCATGAACAAAATGAAGATCTTCTCGTGCACGGCTAAACGACAAAACGTAGGGATGATTGTTGTTCTAAAAGACAGGAGATTAATTAATAACAGTAAGATAAACTTGGATACGTACGATAGTTTTCTCTATTGGATATGTAGGTTACGCCACAGATGGCGGCTATTTCGATAAGATTGAGCCAGTAGCAGAGGTTGATGAGTATATAAGTGTTGGACTTGTCAGCGACTTTGGACACCTGATTGATGAAATAGTTGTAATACACCTGGGCGATGACCATACGCGGTCCAACGTGAAAAGCGACGGCTATCCGCCACATGTACGTCTGAGGCGTCACACCAGTGATGGCACTAATCGATGGTATCACATTGTAGACCTGGTGGAGCAAAAAAGCGTAGCTCGAGCAAAACCCAAAAAACACAGCATGCAAATCAAGAATCAGGGACATCTGTGTCCATTCATTGTGTGTGGGGGCCCGGGGGGGGGGAGAACAACTCTATGATTGGAGTTGAAAAATATTACATTTTTAATTAAAAACTGATGAATTTCAAGAAATAAATATTCATTGAATCCATCAATCCTACTTAAGGACTAACATTAAAATGCAGTCAAATTCGGTAATAACGATGCCGTATGTAACGATATTTCGGGTAAAACGATTCCAAGCAATGTATTTGATTGGTTTTATATGTTATGTTTAGCGATTAATAATATGTACATTGTGTAGTAAATTTTATTTCCTTCAAAGTAATAATTCTTAATCTTATCTGCAACATATAATGTGTCTTGTCCGACCGTATTGTATACACTACAGAGCATACGTTTCTTAGTCCCCGTTTTGATTGCTATCCGCGTAGACACTTTCCGTATAAGTTAAAAATGTCAAATGAAAGACCGTCAAAGTACCATTCAAAGTACCGTCTGTTTCGAAAATGTATTTTTATAATGATCAGGTGCGTACTTTTGTTTCGGTAAACAGGTAAACAGTGATATAAATACGCCAGAAGTATCAATGACAATAAACAATATTTCTAATTTTGTTAAAAATCGTATTCAAATTAAAAACAACCCACTATAATAGATTATTTTTCAAACAAGTCGTAAACATATACTATATAATATTATATTATATACTTTTATTAAAAATTATAAATACTTTGAATGTTAAAATGACATTTGTTTAATAAATCAATTTTTCAAAAAATTCATGTTACTTTTTATGATCCAGATACAACGAAGGTCGGTTATAACGATCAGTTTCCCTAGGTCAAGGCCGTAACTGGAAATTAAATTCGAGGGGGGGGGTTAAGCAAAAAAAAAATGTGTTTTAATTTTATTATAATATTTTATAGGTAATTTAATAGAGTATAAAAATTTCGGGGGGGGTTGT